GCTATAGATATACACACATACAAACAACACAAACTGCAGCGGCGCATCGGAGACGCGCGGCCCGCCTACGAATCGTCCTGGCATCTCGGCGACTTCAATGACCCTTTTTGCGCAACAACACAACTAACTCTTGTTCTTTCTAGCGAAAAAGAAATAATTAATAGACCCTGTTACCGTTTATGTGTTTAGTTGTGTTTAGGTGTTGTGCTGTGAGTGCTGTGTTTACACACACCAACATTTATGAAGTACTGCGAGACTCGCATGCTGGCTTCTTTTGCCCAGGTACATACCCTACATACCACCACATACCCACCATATGCTTTATCGGCGCCCTCTCGTTTCTTTATTGATCGATCGCGCAAAGATAACTAATAATGTGGTCTCAAACCGGATCTTGACATTGTTTTCTCCTCTTTTCTCAATTACGAAATCTAGACGAAAAATTGAAATATCAAATAATTAACTTTGTTTATTTATTGAAACAAATGTGATGTTATAAAATTAAAATATTTTGAGTATATAGAGAGGTTTTTGATGAAATTTATATTTAATAAGTGAAAATATGTGGATATAGCGGAGCGCTCGATCCGTCGGCGGCGGAACGAAGCGTCGACGCTAGCAGGTCGACAGCCGGCGCTGAACTGAATCCACGACCAACCCTCACAGAAAACTTGTACTCTGTTGTATACTGTGTATGGCATCACAACACAACACAACATATAAACATCGCCCCAATTTCCCATTTTCATTCAGTTCCGCGTTGTGTGCGGTCTCGTTCTCGGCTCACAAACGCTTTATTTCATCGTAAAAAGGGAAAGAAATTTTCTTTGATTTTTTCACTTTGAAATTTACAAATTATAATAGCAATAAAAACGCATTTTTCTTCTCAATGTTACACTTTTTATTTACACGACACACAATACATGTAGATTTTAATTTGAATAAAAATGATTCTGATGTATTGGAAAGTGGAAAAAATAGGGCAGTGCTGGAAGTCTAGTCCACACACTCATATAAGTTGATGTGTTAGGGGAGGATAAATTTGCAGGGCAGGGGTGAGAAGTGAATGCAAGCGAGTAGGGCTAACTGCTTGCAATTAATAAATTGGTCAAATCCAGTAAGAGTAAGGTAATAGGGAGTTATTAATATTTAGCAGTCCTTGTTTAGTGGCCGGGGAATTTTGAGCAATGAGGACTATAAGTGAGGACCGAGGAGTTACAAATGACGGCTGTCGGTGGCAGGCGGGCATATGGTGCATCGACAGTTTTGCTGGACGCTCATAAATTAGAGGCACTGTTAAGTACACCGCCGGTCTCGTAAAGTGTGAAATTCAGCAGTCATGGGCGTTATTGAGAATGGACTGCTGTAAATTATGTTCTGTATCCTGGCCTCCTTTAAAATTGTACATTTGTCAAAGGATATATACGCAGTAAGCTTGTTTTATTGGATAATATGGCGTCTGTCCGATCGGAAACCGTATTTTCCATTTCCATCGCGCTTTCCGTCTTCTTACCCGTTTCATTATTGCGTCGGCAACATGGCGTGAACTGATTTGCTTCAGTCTTTTATATTTAAATTGCTAACGGTGGCTCGCCGTGTAAATATCCCGTCTCTTCGCTCATCACAGATACAGATATTTACTCAACTGTATTTTTCTTCGGAGAATTATTCGGATGAAGTTTTTTATTTTGCCTCTCTGTCTTCTAATTTCATTGTTCTTTCACCCTTACTCGATGTTTTATGTTTCTTCCGAGGTTTTTTATTTGAATGTATGAAACGATGTTGACGAACCGCCATCGCGGATGTAAATTACGGCAGAATAGAAAACTGATTTAGTTTCACCTATACTCAACACATATACCAACAGAGCTCTGTTATAAATTCGAGATCTGCCGACCCTTAACAAATATTTACCGGAGGTCGTTCTAAAGAGTTGCGAAGATGCCGCAATGAATGATAAGACGTTAAAATGCATTACCATGATGTCACATGAAATAAAACCCATATACAGAGGCGCATTATGTGAAAAATATGGAAATAATATTGCTCTAGCAAGCAAAACAGCCCTCTGCATATGAAATATGTGATCAGGGGTAAGGAGTTTTTTCGGAGTTTTTGCACGACGTTTCGTAGTGAATACCAATGGTTTTAGTATGCCGAGAAAGCAATTTTCTCCTAATTTAGTTACGTGTGTAATAAAACATTTAAATTTACGTTTTTAATTAGGGTGCATGAGAAATTTTTGTGTTTATAATTTTTTCATCAATAATCAGGCGTGTTATTGAAATTTTAACACAAGTTACAAATTTGTTGGCAACGCATCGAATTTTCATAAGTCGAGTTTTTCTTTCCTTCAAGATTGAGTTTATATAATTCAGTATACCGCTAATTGATATTGAATCATTAATACGGAGAAAACAGAACAGGAGACCCTCTGTTTGTAATCTAAGTCGGAGAGGGACGCTTATTATATTAACAGTCAGCCCGCGTTCCTAGACAATAGTCTGCAAGACAGAATAGTTTAACTGTGCATGTTGCCGACCCTGATCCTTCCCTCCTTGTTAACGATATCCTTCTATAAAGTCTTAATTTGAAGTGATTTAGATATTTGCCGATTGCCTCTGACGCTCATTTTTTTCAGGCACATCTTTCAATTACCATTACAACAAACAATGCGTTCAGCCCTGCACATTTTATTGTGCAGATTTTCTCAATTATTCTCTTCTTTTTATTTCGTTACGCCCAACTTTCTTCCTGTTCCATTATTGTGCTCTTTTATCTATACGTACATGCAATTGATCTGTTTGTTTCATTTTAACCAAAAATTGTCTTCTTTTGTTTTAATTCATCTCATTATTTAATTTAACTAAAGACTGGAAAATTCGATCGTTTATACCTATTTTAAAAATGCGAAAGATGGGAGACTGCAACATCTGGATTACTTTATCAAGTAGAGACCATATATTTAAGAAAGGTGTACAGGTATTATAACCGGACCATTGCTCCAAGACACATGGCTTCCGAGGTCCTAATGCGGCCGTTCGTAGCCATCCCGCGCTCGTGAAATCAATCACATTTATCACATGCACGAGCCGCTTTCAAACTTTACTACCAAAACATGCACATTTTCGCTTCTCTTGATCTTTGTATGAATTTGAATATCTTTTCCAAAAGATTTTTTGCATATTTCTGCATAAATATATGATCTTAAATCACAACAGGCTGCCTCCTTAGAAAAAGTTCTCAAGGAACAACAACAACATCAACAATTAGAACTGGAGCGAAGTTGGGAACAAGAAAGAGACGTTAAAGGTAATGGAAGCAGCAGTCCAAATTCTGATCATAGAGTGCAAGACCACTCTTCTCCACCTTCAACGGACTCGCAGAAAAGTCTTAGTGCCACCGTACCACCTGCCACCCAGGTACAAAAATCACAAAGTGTAATTTTTCAAACAAATTTTCAACCATGCCAATTGCAGTCGCAGACTGCAGGTCCACATATAATGTCTTCAACATCCAACCTTCATCATATGCAACAGTTACTTCAACAACACGTACTAAATCCCACTCAATTACAAACCTTAATGAAACAACATTCATTATTACAACAGCAACAACATCAGGTAATTTTAAACTTGTAATAATTATCAACTCGCTACAATTATGTATGTGTAGCAACATCAATTAGCAGAATTAGGAAAGAAACAAATTGAACAAACAATGCAACAGTTGCAAGAGCAACTCCAATTGAATCTCATTCAACAAACACATATCCTTCAAAGTACGGATAAAAAGAAAGCTTCCGGTTCGTTGCAACAACTCGCTCTTCAACAACAGCAACTTATACAGCAACTTCAACTCATGCAAAGACAATACGTTGTGCATCAAGGCATGGGTATGCAGCCTCTCATGCTTGCTCAAGGACAAGGTATGAATCCGAAAATGCTCGAAGACGTCTTCAGTGATTGTCACATCGAGTAGAACCCGCCAGTCACTTTTATTTTCAAAATCACTGATCATTTCTATAGTATTGAAGTTGATTTCTATAATAATAATAATATAAATCACTATGAAATAAAAAAAATAGAATTGAATACATAGTAAAGTAATGCATGCGATAAAATATTTTTGTCAAATTGAATGAAATTTGCGAATCGTCAAGAAGATTGGACAGTTGGCGAGTTCCAGCAAGGTATGTATTTCCTAATCCCGCCTGTCCATTTATCCTCGTTAAGTAATCGAACCTTTAAATTGGGCAATGCCACACAATAATTAATTGCAATTGATAAAGGTTTCTTTTGTCACCGTTGACCGACGAAATGAATTTTCTGGAGGCAAACGTGTGGCTGCTACAACGGATTTCACGTGCGGTTAAAACTATTGGCACTTGCCCATCCTTCCTGCTTTTCCCATTCCCATCATCAACCCTCTTTGTTCACCAAGCTGGAACCCGTTCGACGTCCAATCGATTTTAAACGCACGTGAAGCCGTCCTTTATTTTTAACACTGCAAAGATAATTGGCGGTAATTTAACATTTCCATCCAGGTCTTAATTCGCGAGAAGTCCTGAGTCCTTGGAAGGAATTGAACGAACCACACATTACTAATTCAAAATCCGAACTAAATGGTGAGCATCCATAATTGTGTTTACTTAATTTTATTTTCTTTTATTACTGCATTATTGTATTAGACGGTTCACCAGGATTGTTGGGAGTGGCGTCAAATCGTCCCAGCAGAGATGAAGCACCTTTAGAAGATAAATTAGAACGGACTACAACGCCGGATCGAGTCCATCATTTGTATGGCCACGGTGTCTGCAAATGGCCAGGCTGCGAAATTATTTGTGAAGACCTCCAAGCATTTATAAAGTAAGTGAAAATTTGAAAAACGACATTTCTATACACCGCGACTAAGAAAGTTATAACGTCATGTCGGAGTATTAACATTTAAATCCAACGCTGTTACGATCAAACGCCTTGCATATTAATTAAACATAGCGTAATTAGAGTTTTTAAACTCCGATGCCGCTTCTAATTTATTCCAGGTCGCCGTTCTTTTGTCGCGGGACGACAAAATATTGTAATTTGGCGGTTTACTTTATCCCCTTTCTTTTACATATTAATCACCTCGTAGATAAAATGCTAAATATATAACAGAATTAATATTGCCTCGCAGTTGGTTTTGCAATGGGAGAGTATCTGGTGGCTAATTTTCAGGCATTTAAATACGGAACATACGTTAGACGACCGATCAACCGCTCAAGCTCGTGTTCAAATGCAAGTAGTTTCGCAACTGGAACTCCAGCTGCAAAAAGAACGTGACCGTTTGCAAGCCATGATGCACCATCTTCATTTGTCAAAACAATTAAGTTCTCCTGAACCTCATAAAGATGGTTCAGTTGTAACACCTACAAAAATGGCCGTAAACACATCGTTATCTCAACCGTCAGTATCAATAGGTCCCATGGTGTCCGCAGTTCGATCTCCTGTGCTACATTCTCCTGCTGCCAATGTCGCCGGTCCAATACGAAGGCGGCTAAATGATAAATCAGCACTTTCGTTAGCAGGAGGTAATATATTCGTCGCTTCTGTTTTTGTGTATTATTCTCGTTCTTTAATTACTAAGTATCTACGTTATTTCTACACATGCTGCAATGATAGGTCTTCCGTACATGCTCGAGAGGGCAGGGCTTGATGTCCAACAAGGTATTTTTTTTTAAACCATTCTCTCTCATTTATCCATCTTAGCGTCAATTAAATACAAATAAATATTTCTATTTTATTTTATAGAAATACAAAGGAACAGGGAATTTTATAAAAATGCTGATGTGCGACCTCCATTTACTTATGCTTCATTAATACGCCAGGTAACAAAAAATTAAATAATCACCTGGAAGACATGTTTTAATCGCAAGCATATTTTAGTCAATTATAGAATCCCCGGATAAACAATTGACTCTAAATGAAATTTACAACTGGTTCCAGAACACTTTCTGTTACTTTAGAAGAAATGCAGCGACTTGGAAGGTATTATATTTTTTTGAACTTCTTTAACAATGTATAGTTAACAATGAAAGCGCCTTGCTTAAGGCTTAAACTTATACATCAATAATTATTTTTTGTAACAATGACTTTCTCAATTATTAACTAAAATAATGATATTTAAATTTAATTAAACTTTATCTCAAGCTAAAATGAAGTCGTATGTATTTTTTTGGAAAGTATTTTTGTGTGTACAAATCAGTTTCAGGATATTGAAAATGCTTACAGCTTGCATGTTTGTTATTAACATTCTATAGAAAACTTGTTTTTATTATTTTCTTAACAAATTTATTTTTATATATCTGTTTCACATTCGGCAATTTTATCAGTTCACGGTTGTAAAACGTAAGTGTCTAACAATAAGCGACCGGGCAAGAATCTATCATTTAGTAAAAAAAAAACACCAAGATAGTGACATTTTTAAAAATTTTGTTTTATTGCGGTAACTTGATTCTTCCGTCTGCTACTCTAAGGTAAGTTAAATGTTTTGAATAAATGATTGCTTTATGAGTGAATGGTGCGAACAGAAATGTCCTATCTTGAAAATAATTTATGAGTAAAATTTTGACTTGCACGGGTTGCTAAGTAAATTGCCTCGTAAAAGTTAAGACATTAGTGCTTAAGGTTAACTTTTGCGATGTAATTTAAGTTGTGTAGGCCCTTTCAGTTTTCTCCGGTCTCAAGTTTGCCGAGTTGTGCTAGGTCGCGTTGTTTATTTGGCGCTATTTGATTTGTTGTTAGAACGCAGTGCGCCACAACCTGTCTCTCCACAAATGTTTCATGCGCGTGGAGAACGTAAAGGGTGCCGTATGGACAGTGGACGAGGTGGAATTCTACAAGAGAAGGCCGCAGAGATGTTCATCGGGCCCGTTAACCCAACCAGTCGTCGGGTACGTCACCGAGGCCCACCATTTTGAATTTTTCCATTTGTACATTGTGTGTTTTGTGGTTTTTTATATATCTTTTTCTAATCTCTTTTAAAACTTTTTATCTTTTTAATTATATATTTACATATTTACAATTTATTATCTATGTAACATATACTGTGTGTATGCGTGCGTATGTAGATAGACATATACACAAGTTAACAAAGTGTATAGCTTGTATGGTATGTATGGAAAGGGTGGTAGTGTGATTGTGTGGGCCGGTTCAGTAACAGCATGTGAAGCCGCAGGCTTGGGCTACTAACAGCAGGAGACCGGAAGGTATTCGCATCAGGTGTCGCCATTGACTAACCTTAACCTTACTTGATTGTTATCTTTCTCTTTCTTGGGTCTGGGTGTATAGAACGCGATACGCACCAATCTCTCACTCCACAAGTGTTTTGTGCGCTACGAAGACGACTTTGGGTCATTCTGGATGGTGGATGATGCTGAATTCGTGAAGCGCCGCCACCTGTCGCGTGGTCGGCCGCGGAAATATGACCCAACCCCATCACCCACTCCACCCCACTGCGCACAGTAAGCACCATTCTGAACGCGATGCGCCAAGCGCGTCGTGCCGTGCGTGTGCTGCTGTCTGCTCGGCTCTGCTCGGCTCCGCTCTGCTCTATTCGGCTCTGCTTTGCTCCACTCTGCTGCTCTATCTGCTTGACTTTAGCTCTTCTTTCTGCTGATCACCCAAACAACATTCTATCTTCTTCTCTCTCACACATACATACATGTTGTTGGACGATCAGCAGAAGCTACAAACTATGACTGCTCAGCTTTAAGTCTTAGTTCAATGCGCATTTTTATTTTTATTTTTATTTTTTTCATAGCTAGTAGAGTTCCGAAGCAAGACACACACACAGAGAAAGAAAAAACATACCTCACACACACAAATTAGATCCTGCAATGCTTCCGCTTTAAGAACTGCATGATAGCCCTTTCCTATTAACAAAAACGTAATAGAAAAAATCGTGACATATAAAAAACAGCAGAATACAACCGTCAGAGTTCTGTTGTATATCATTAGCAATTCGCAAAATTCCACAAATTAAAAAGTCGCATAAAATGATATACATGCACAGTACCTTTCCTTTGAGCATTTCCGTCATGTGCACGAAATACTATTCAAGCGGCTGTCAAGTAACTTAAGCTCTAGGAAAAATCTACTTAGTTGAGCCGGCTTATAGAATGTTTGGATAACGCCTAACGTACATACGTATAGCATTTTTGCCATTAATTATGAATTTTTTTGTTTATTATAATTATATTAAAATGGTGTATGTATGTACTTGTAACTGCATTTAGATGTTTTGAATGAATGTGAAATACCTATAATATATATGACTCTACCAGAGGCTGATGGAACATTAAGAGATAAGTATTTGAATAAAGGTATATAAGAAATTTTTAATAATTTTGTATCTTTTTTATCTCATACTGTTATAAATGTTTTTTTCAATCTTGCACGATGTTTCAATAGTTCCTGTATGACATTTTTTAAATCTTTTTATTAAAATTTTGGTAACTCAGTCAGCTACCCTTCCCATGGAGGCTTCATTAATTGAGGTAACTAAAATCATACAGGAACGCCTTAACTGAAATTCTAAACTAATAAGGATCAAAATTGCTTAAATGCATGTATTATTTTGAATTTTTGCAAAGATCGCTCATTGATCCCAGGAAGTCAGTAGAATCGCCATGGTATGTGTTTACAATTTTTGCTTATTCGTCATATTTCTATCTTAGTGTTTAGTATTTTCTTCTTATTATTTGTGTAAATTTGTTTATTGTGTGCAAAAATATTTACGAGTTTGTGTATTTAGGGGCGCAACTTCGAAAAGCCCGACATTAAATCACAGTCCGACCCTGTACGGTGACCATCTGTCGGCGAACGTGCAGGTATATTAATAATTTTTGAATTTTTTGCAATTTTCTCTTAATAATTGTGAACAGTTTATGCAGGCATCGTTAATGGAAGATAACAATTTATCGTTTATAACGGGGGCCTCGTCGTTGCCTAGCAGACCCAGAGACAGCTCCGAATCCCCAGTACACGACACGCATATGAGGTATTTTCCAATTATTAAAATAAATGCGAACGCATGAATATGTATGTGTAGGTCTCCTCCAATGAACGGAGGTCTACACATCAAGCAGGAGAGCATGATGAATCAGGAGCACCACGTAACGCGAGAGCAGGAACAGATGCATCATATAATCAAGCGCGAGATTCATTCGGAATACGACGAGATAGAGCAAGAGCACTCGCAGAGAGATACCATGGCTGAAGATCTGACAATTGGTTCCGAACATAACGACACAAACGTACTGGACGCGTAGTGCGCGCAGTGTTCGAGAATTCATCAGGACAACTTCAAATCTGTGCTCATTTAAATTCCCAATTAGAAAAATTGAATTTCGTTTAGGATGAAGTAGCAGCATATCTCATCGAGTGAAGGATGAACATTGTTGGATTTTGTACATTTGTGTATAAATATAGAACTGTTGAATCTGCGAATGGGAGTGTGTTTACGTACTGTTAATTGTTTAGTACCTAAAGGTTGTCGGATGTTGTATAATCAGTATGCGTATAGGATATCTCATTTGATTTTTTTATTATTAATACAGGGTTCTTTGTTACTTGGTGGACTCGGCGTTGCCTAATTTTTACGAACAGATGAACTGTTACCAACCGTACGATCAGTTTATTTTAGCATATCAGTTGCTATGTGTGCGCCACAAAACAGGGAAAAAACCGAACTAGTAGGTAAAGCCAACCGCACTGACGTGTTCGTATTATTTGTGTTAGAAAAATATCGTTGCGCTCATATAGTGATGTAAAATAAGCAATATTGTAAATTATTTATCGTTAAGCATTCGTGCTATTATATTCTATCTTTAAACGAAGGGAAATTTATTCCATATCATTATCTAAAGTAAATCATATATCAGTGTAAAAAAGTAGTAGAGACGTTTTCCTATATACATACATTAGCTAATTTCGGTCATTTTAATTCGCCAAATAATTCTCACATTGATTATTTATTACAATTATACTTTAATTAATACGAACTTTGCCAAATACATTCGCGTTCATGTGATAGTACCTTAGTTCAGATTGATTAACTATTATAATTATAAATAAAAATTATAGATAAGTATTAAACGTGGCCATTGCATGGAAGATGATTTATTTGCTACAATATAAGTTGGTTGAGTGTAAATATCGCCGAAATTTTGGCGGAAAATTCCTGTCTATCGGCCCTATCAGCCTTACAAGTAGCAATGCCTACATATCATATCTACTAGTTTTATTGGCATTACCGCTCCCCCCATTTTTATAAAAGGTGGATCGAGCTCTCCTGTCGGGGTATTTTCTACTCAACTCTCGATAATTGTGTAAACTGTAGGTACTGTATCTTTCTTTTTTTTCATTTGTTACAAATAATTAACATTATTTACAATAAAACAAGCAATAAGGTTTTTTGTCGTTTCACTTTCATTAAGTAAGAAATAGTTGAGGTAAGTTCACGCCGTAAAATGAGAAAAGGAGGGGTGATTTAACAGTGTCACTTAATTTTTGTAAATTCTTATATATTAGTAAAAAATTCCATACCTACATGCATAATTATATAAATATTAGTTATTACGCATGTGCATTGCTCAGTCTTAAACATAAGACAATTTGCATTTAAACAATCAATTAACTTATTTAATAAAATGTTCGTAAAAATGTCTTATTGATTTACCTTTTCATGAATGAAACAACTAATTAAAAACAAGCGTCAACACTCTACGTCATCGTGACCCTTGAGATGCGCAGATCAATTAAGTTATAATCAAATCAATAAAAAAACTTCTCTTCTAAAGTCAGATTTACATTACTAATTGATAGCAAAGCAACATTTGTAGTATAAATTATTTGCGTATTTCAAGGTCAGGTGCCACGGTAAATTACACAAAAAACAAACATATAAAAAGAGGGATAGGTATTTGTTATTCTATTAAGAAATTGCCAAAGACTAATAAAAACCCATGGACCAAAAACAAAGCGCTATCTAGTAATATCACTACAAATACAAATAAATATTAAATTTGATTGAAATGATTTTTCATATACATACATACCGCGCTCTCTATGTAAATTCAATATTACTTATTTTAGAATTTCTATAAATAGTTAAGTTACAAACTCTTTGCATAAAAAAAAACACTATTACAGTTTACTTTGTCTTGTCATAAAAAATTAATTGACTATAGTGTTTCGTGCTTAGATGGCGCTGTAAACAAATGATAGTTTGGTTTTAACTCTTGCTAGTACTATAAAGCGTGATAAAGCCTCTGTATATCGTGAAAGATTCCTGTAGAGACAAATTTTATTGCTAGAAAACAATAAGTGTCCTCTATGCGCGGTGGGTTATATTAGAATAATAAAGTATTACATTTTAGTAGGAGTTAAAACCAAACTATAACGTGTTTACAGCGTCATCTAAACGCGAAATACTGTAGTCAATTGTTTTTTACAAGAAAATAAAAGTAAACTGTATTAGTTTTTTTGCAAAAAGTTTACGACTTGGCTATTTTAAAAAATTCAAAAATAAGTAATATTAGATTCTCAAAGAGGTCCCAGTATGTATATAAAATATTATTATTTCAATCAAATTAAATAATTATCTGTCTTATTAAATGCTTTGACATTTTATATTTTTTAATATTCTTTAAAAACAGGGTAAAACCGTAAACATTTTTCTATTTTCCTGAAATTGTATTTTACATTGCTTGAAAACAAAGAAGAATCTTTAGAATTTTAAGTTTCGTCCTGAACAGGCCCATATAGAAGTGATCTATGCTATGTATTACTAAATTATAATTTTGTATTTGGCTTATTTTAGTTCAGATTTGTAACTTTAGAATTATTACATCATATTTGTTTGAATAAGCAATTAGTCTATACCGCAATCAGTCTAATTACCTACTCTTAATTAAGACTTGTTTTTATATTATGTTAAAATGGATTTATTTCTCAAGAAACAGTTGCAAAAACTGTTCTGGATCAATATTAATTTCATTTAATAAATGACTCAACCACACCTTCAATAGCTCCATATCTGACCACCCTTGGAATTTAGTTTGTAGCACAGCTTTTATCAGTGATGGTTCGTGTTTTCTAAACCATTATGGGAAATAAATTATTGACATTTTCGGAACAACAATTAGAAAATTACCAGGTAATGCCAAATTTGTTATTATGATTAAATTCTAGTTTATGCCCCAAGGACTGCACTTTCTTTACGAGGAAAGAAATTTTAAGGTATTTTAAATGTTGTGTTAATTTATTTAACTTAATATTTTTTAAGAGTTCACAAAAAATTTCGAAACATTCGCCCCGATTTAATCCCAAAACGTATGCGCCAGAATGAGCAAGTCACGATTAAAATACCACTGGAAGATATTGTTGAAAAATTACCCGAACTGCGGGTAAAAAGAAATAAACATTTGAAGACCAGTCAGACATTAAAATAAGAATTTTTAGGAAAATCCTTTTAAAAAACGCATTTGTGAAGTGTTCTCTCGCGACGGGAAAGGAAATTTATCTTTCGAAGACATTTTAGACTTGCTTTCAGTGTTCAGCGAGCAAGCTCCAAGGGACATAAAGGTTTTTTATGCGTTCAGTATATATGGTTGTAAAAACCGGTATATATTATAGCGATTTTATTTTATAATTTTATAGATTTCGATAATGACCAATATATCGGCGCCGACGATTTAGATAACACGTTAATTCTGCTCATGCATCAGGAATTAACACCCGAAGATCGGCAACAAATTATTGAAAAGGTTATAGAAGAAGCAGATGTTGACGGGGATGGAAAATTATCTTTTATGGAGTTCGAACATGTGATTACTCGCGCACCCGATTTTCTCTCCACTTTTCATATACGGATATAGCTAAATCAATAATCAGAAACAATAAAATTTATTTATGTTTAAAATTACAATTTATATTTACAACCAGGGGGAGAAATATAAGAATATAACAGCAATATGAAGAACAAAAGGCACGTATAACACTTACGAAGTGATTGTCGGCAAGTCACCAAGTAACGAAATAGCAAATAGAAAACTAGTTTTATTAGATTCACAGCTACATTGTATTAAGATTTCTTTGATAATTATTGTATTGAACATTTATGAAGAATAAAACTCACAGTTTGCCCACTACGTGTAACATTTTTGATTTTTTATATTTGTCAGTTACTTATAGATAATTATATAAAGTACCAGTCGATGATATTGAATAAATGTTTTGTCAAGTCGGCTACATTCATTCTTCTTCACGTTCCACTTGAACAATGATCAACACAACAGCAATAAAACAATGAACAACAATTATTTATTACGGTATATACGTATAGAACATGCCCGGATGTTTATTATAAATAAAAAAATATATTTATGAAATTGTCTTTTCTTTACATATATACCATATCCTTAAACGCTATCAGTAACAACATTAATTGTAATGATGATAATGAAGTTATGTTAAAAATAAGAAATAGTAGATATCGTGAATCGTGAGGTAGTTACATCAGCGAGGCCCAGTAATCACAGACAGTCATTAGTAAAGATAATGTGAGGATCTTCGACGGATCGGTGGCGGACGTACCAGTCTAGGATGAAATGGACCAAGAGCAGCCTCATTCGTTGATGAAGCGCTTCTGTAAAGAACAGGAAGCCGAAAGCGACATGGTCGTTGAGGCCATTGATGGTTTAGTGTCCAATACAGAATTGGACTAAACGCCGAATGAGTATGGCCAAGAAGTAAGCTATACCGTTGAACCGTTGTAGAAGGAGACGTTCCTAATTCTCCACAAAATTGGCACACTATATAAGGAAACCAACATACTGCGAAAACAATCGCCACCCATAATAAAGAATTCGCCAGACGACGACGACTGCGAAGAGTGCTTGTGGGCGGCTGGGAAATATTCTCAACACTTGTTTCGGTCGTCTGGAGTCTGTCTCTACCGTGCTGAAAAAGGTATTAAATAGTGGCGAAAATTAAATTCAAAGTGAGGGTAAAATCAGAGTGGAAAACGCAAAATGGTGGTACCTTGGAAATTCCTGCAACAATGATAACGTGGGTTGGTCTCCTTAAGAGGGGCATTGGTAAGGGTAGTTCGCCATGTTTGGCGCGAGCAGTCAGGGAAATTGCAGTGAGCTTAGCGTGCACTCCTAAGTGACTTATGAGAACCGCACAAGCTGGCATAACATACACCAATAACACATGGGTGATAACTAAGCTTTTCCGCCATGGATGTTTACAAATAAATTGTGTACCAGATAAAATTGCAGCAGAGATCCAGGTGATAATAACCGCAGTGTTAAGCAAGTGTCTTCTCCGAGCAATTTGCCCAGCTGGCCTGTAACTTTTTATCGTGAGATAACGGTCGACAGATATAGCCATCATCAATAAAGTGCTAGCAGAAACAGGCCAGGCCTAGGGGAATAATAATAATTGTTGTGGTCCCTTCATTACAGTAATACCTGGATAAATAGAGCAATGTATTTCCAAGTTTGGGTCCAGTTTGAAAGGACATAAAGAGCCGCAGTGACAGGACCACTTAAACAACATACTAGGAGGTCCGCAAAAATTAGACCAAAAAGCAAGGGACTTCGAGTTTTGGCTCCGGGACCGCAACACAGTGTCAGACAAAGGGTCCCATTGCCGAGAACACCCACCAAAAACATGCATCCATATATTGTTATTAAATAATCCATTCTAAAATCATAACTACTCGAATGAAAGACATAATATACATACATTTTTTCTACCGTATATGTCACTCGTTCTTTTTCATTTTGGAAAATACCAAAATCTTAATTGTTGAAGGTCTGGACAAAGCTAGGATTACATGTGCTAGGTAGCAACGACAGGGCAACACCCACCTGAAGCTGCAACCCCATACTGCCACACTGCCGCCCCCAACATCCGTCTCTCCCTTTCCAATCGTAAACGTTCGTTAAGCTTCGTGAAAAGCGATGATATACATTGACGCTTTTTTTCAAATTATCCTGCTACCCATACTCGACAATGTGTGCGTTTATTTGGAGATTTACATATATTACATATTTTTTCGATTAGCACTCTAACGAAGTGTGAAAAGTCTACTATCGAATGATTTTTAATATTAATAATGTGTTTCAAGATCTTTAATAAAGAGGTTAAGTTTCATGTATTCTTCTCGTAAAAAGACACGAACAGAAAGAATTTGCACAAGGAGCGACGAAAAACCCCTCTTAAATTTTTACCCTTTTTACTTCTCAGAACCTAAATTTCTAAAAAAACAAATCCATTTCTTCTAATTATGCACCAAACGTTCACTTAAAAAATGAATTTCTAAAAAACAAGAAATGTCTTAATTTCAAGTTATACCTATTATAAAAATAAATAATTTAATTAAAATAAATGAAATAACCAATTTCATTCCGATAAAAATAGTATACATGTGTCCAGAAATAACTGAAAGAATAAAACACTATAGTACGCAAAAAACCAAGTATTTTATTTGAAAACTTTTTTCTCTCCATCCTGTAGGAGTCGGCTGAAAAGTAGATATGCAAGTGAGTTTGCATGTTATTATGGTTAAAAAAGATACAAAAACAAAAATCGTTGAAAATTCAGTGCAGTAGATAATTATTTTAGATTAAAAATAGATGAGATTTTTTGAATATTTGTTCAAATTCAGTAATTCATATATTGTTTTGTTGCTATTTGTAATATTTTTTACAAAATCAATTATTGTGTCTTTGTTGACGCAGTCAGGATTCACAGAAGTATTTTGTATTTGCAAAATTGTTCGATTTAAACTTTAATTAATTAATTAAATTAATGTAAAGAGTTACTTTTGTGAGCTAAAGTGCAAATGAGTAGCATTTCTTTCTACACTTGGCCTCAAGTGGAGAAACACTTACAATTGTCTTTTTTGTTTTTAACAGCATCCTAATTTCATTGGTGAAACTAAAGACATAATTTCTTTATAAATTATTACTGTAAATTTAATTTGTATAAAGGAAATGCAACTTGAATTTTTTTCCTAAAACTTTGTGTGTGCGACGAGCATGAAGATATTTTATCATTAGAAAAACGTCACCAAAGAACCCTTAGTATCAAACAAAATTTTCGCTCTTAGTTCGATATTTTATATTTGACGATTTTCTTGATTTCTGAATAAATTATTCCACTAAAATAGTAGTATATTCTTACAGTAAAACAGCAAAATTGTTGCTTGTGCTAGATTATGAAATTAATTAAAATCATTTTCATTGCAATTACTGAGCCAAAAAAAAAACGTACTTAATACCTATAAGAACTATAAAAACCAAATTTTTCTTAAGATCAAGTTCAAATTTAGATATAATCAATTTAAGTAAACTAAAGCATTAGCATTAGTGGAATTTTTTAATTCAGGGTTGTTTTTATTGCATTGTTCAATCTTAATGCTTGACTATTGACTATAAAACGTTGTTTTATCAAATGTATGTAGGCTACACAGTTGAAGACATAGAAATTATTAGCGCTACATAATTCTTAACAAAACTGAATTAGCGTCTAGATACTGTTTCTAAGCAATGGCGGACACTAAATAAAGTTTAATTTTTTTCATAAAATTGTGTAGATTCTGGATATTCTGATTCTAGAGATTTATTGAAGTTGCTTTTCACAGCTTAAATTTCTTGCTTCTTAATGAATACAAACGGAAAAAACCTCAGCAACGTGTCTTGAAATGAATTAGTAATGTCTCTTATTTCATAGAAAAATATGAAAACGTTGGTTTTGTGGTTTTCTTTTTCTAAATTTTGTCAAAAACCATGGAATTTACACCAAAGTTTGCAATAATTTTATCATCAAATAACTACAATCCACCATCCTGATTTCGTGCGAGTAATCGCCTACGCGTGGAATGCAGCGCAGTCTCAGCACTCGGCAGCCAGGAGTCCGGCTAATTCTTCGAGTTTTCGGTTTAGACATGCGACTCCCTACTAACTGGGCGACCTTGGTATATACCTTGGTCAACCACCGGACAGTGGATCCACAATCATGACAAAAGCAATGTTCGCATAGTTGCCAATGAATTCTTTTCCATCGAAATCTGATAAACCCTCTTATTTTACTGCAAATAAAAACGAATGTTTTCGGCTCCTTTAAATTATTTCTCATGATTTATAAGAAATAAATGAAACATCTTGCGTTCAAATCTCCATATTTGCACAGTGACATCAGCAATTGTATTACTTAGGCAAACATTGATTCTTTTAGTACTCCTACATAATTATGTTCGTAAAAATAATGTTGGGACGATGAAGCTTTTGCAGGAATTGTCCCAAATTCGTCCGATATGTGATGTGTCTACATATGAGCCACACATTTATCGTTTGGAATTTGTGACCGTTGAAGTTGTATCATGGTACATTAGTTTATGGCCGAACGAAACGACCGAAGACCACATTCCTGTCACACAATGGCTGTGTTACAGCGCGGGAGGCTGGACGAGGTCGCGGAGGAATGAAACTTGACTGGACTGGCTGGACCGGTTATGGTAATACCGCCGGGTAACGTTCTATTCGATCATCCACGGTTTCTTGCGTTCATCTCGGGAGTTCAACTGAATTTTAAGTAAATTGATCCGAATTTCCAGCGCCAAATCCGGCTCGAAAAGTGGCGTTTCGCGGTGCGAGCTAGGGCTAGGGAAGAGCATCATTTGGTGAGGTAGGTAGGTATCTTTGACGAGTATACGGTTACTTATGCATATTAAATCTATGTATTTGCATCGTACAACATATGTAGCAGTCTTGCAGTACCAGGCATAGTAAGAGTGTCGCTTGCAATAAATTCCGAATATCGCCTTGAGCTTAGAAAGTTTGGCAACGTAGTGACATACAGCATACAGGCCAAGTTAAGGCTTGGCTTTTAAAACTGGTTTCCTAACGATCAAGTTCGAAGACTGGCCGAGCACCGATGGCGATGGCGATGGGGAAAGCAAAACGTCCCACTTGCCAAGCAGCCCGGAGCCCGCGTTTGGTCAGTTCTTCAAGTGCGTTCGGAGATGATGTTCCCTTCTGTTATTTCATTGTAATTTTAATACCTTTTATACATTTTGAATATCACTGCTTTGTGCGGGAGGTGAGAGACTGTAACAGTATCACGTGGTTGGTGTGCGGATTATACATTTTTATTTTGTATTAGTCGCATCTGCAATATGTGATATTCTCTTTCCTCTGGAATTATTTATTCATTGGAACTGATATTTTCTTTGGTTATCTAGCTGTATGAGTATTGTTTAATAACATCATAAAGCTAGGTTACCGGAGTTAAAACCAGTTTCCATACATCGACCATTTTATCGGATCATCAATTATTGGCGACTTGGTGAGGTAGACTTAGACGATACGCATCTTGTATTTCTTTTTATATGGAAATTAATATTGATAGCAACTGCGAGATTCGTATCAAAACTTTTGGGACGAACTCGCAACAATATTGCGATATAATACAATTCAATTACAGAATATAATATATTGACAGGTCTACATTAACTGCATTACATAGCAATAACCTCACCTGATCCACATACCGGAATTTTCAAAACCACACCATTTACATGTTATGATGTCACGGTAGTATGCAGTAGGTATCACACACATTTATCTCCCAATTTTATTTATTTAAAAAAATAAATGAATATGCACATTTCAATACTTAGCTGAAAAAAAATCTCTTTAATAATTTTCAATAAATCCGTAGGTGTTGGAAACCACGAACACATTTTGAAAGTTTATTTAAATGTTATTTGTTTAGTTAATTATTACAATCTATTTTTAGTAAAGTTGCATCATAAATTGTGTGCTGTTTGTGAATCCATTTCAATTCTCTGGAAAAATTTGTTACTTAAATTCCTGCAAATCCTCATCTGCTAATAATTTGAAAAACTGAAAATTGTTGAAAGCTTTTAGCCGTCTTTGAATACGGTTTGTTGATTGGATTTATTAATTAAAAAAATCTAGTTTGTAAGCTTTTGGAGTAACATCATACTTCAGGCTTTATCTGATGTGGTGTAATTCGTCGTTTAATTGCGCAATAAAATCTACGAAAATGTCAAATTATTGGATGAAACATTGAAATCACAGTAAAATGTTTACCGGAAACATATCATTTTTATGTATTGGCCAGTTTTGAAAGACGTCCGTTATTGCAATTAGCACAAATTAAATTGAAAATTGATATTATTTTAGTACTAAATACGTAATATAAGCCACGTCCTAGAATTAGTATTTATTTTTGTCAGGTTGGTATTACCATATTAAGGTTGATGGAAGAATTTAAATAAATACGTTACTGGCGTCTGGTGGAAAATAAAATATCAAATAAATAAAGGTATATGAGCAAACTGAATTTGAATTATATTACTACTTACTATACAATTTTTTACCACCTTTGCGAACCTTTAATGAAGAAACTCATTCTTTATAAACTAATTTTTTTGATTTTGATTTTATGAATATATCTAATATTTTCCATTTTGTAGGTGGAGCCAAAAAACCGGTATGAAGACCAGAACAAGTGCCCAATTCTGATTGAGAATGAAAATGACTGTGTATTTAAACCGATATTCAATACAGTTAGCAAATATTGACTGTATATTATAACTTATAACTTATTATTAATATTTTTACTTATTTCTTATACCGGGTGTTAGGTAAGAAATGCCGCAGCTATAATTCCATTGTTAATCATCCGATTTTGATAAATATGTATATTTTATGTCAATTATATGGACAAATAAAACTAAATCACTACAAAATTAGTCATCAATTTATTTTTTTACTGCCTAATGCAGTATGAGCAATTTTCAACTTATTTTTTAAGCGTTTTTAGGGGTAAGGTTTTTTAAAACAACGTCAGTAAGTGTTGAATTTTATTATTGTCACATGATCGTTGTATAACTTTTGACAAAAACTTAAAAAATACGTGATTTTGGAAAACAATAGTTATTGGTATCACAAAACTATCATTTTGCAAGTGCGAGCGCGGTTTGTGGGCCGAGGCGTCAGAAAACAGTTTCTAGCTGTGTGATACACACTATTTTTTGGTCCAATCAATTTTAAATTGTCCTAAAAGTTCAAAAAAATTGTTTGCGCTAGGGAAGTTATATGTATTCCTGTTAACTCCAAATAAAAAAAATATTCAATACATCAAATATTTGCTTGAAATCAAACCGCTTATCATTTAAGAAATGAAAATCACAGATGTTAACGGTTAATCAATAATATTGCTAACATTTGGTTTTTTTTTTTGATGACCTAGTACATCAAACCCGGACGATTCTGACGAATGCAGAATCAATGTTTCTGGACGATTTTGACGCATGCAAAATCAATGTTTCTGGCCGGAGGACCAAAATATAGTTAATGTGAGTTAAAACTCAATCAGTAAACATATGTGTCAAAACTCAACTTGTTAAATATTGTAAAAATTTAGATGCGTTTAGAATTCGTCGTACTTTTTTACACCTCCTGAAAGGCAATTTTTGTCTGTATATTATGATTGATAATAATCAGAAAGAAAATCACCGACTGATTTAATTTTAACTTGTACTCAAATCTAGTTTTTCGCTAAATAACCTGATGTGTATTTTATTGAGGATAACTTATTTATTTTTTGTCCCTCTTCCGGTTCTCAGTTACGCAAATTTTCTTTTAGTTTTTGCTTCAAATTGTGTTTCTTACCTCAATCAAATGCTTGAGTTCCCTTTTTGCTTATGGTTGTATTTATTTCCGGCGATAGGGTTTAGGTTTCTTATACCAAGTTCTTAAATTTTTATTTTTCAATAAATGAATATTATTCAAAAATTCATTGTGTATACATACATAAGTACAAACTTACACATTATTTTTATTGTCTACAAGTTGACACAGTTAAAATAAAAAATTAAAAATTGGACTTAACATTATAGCTTAGATTTAATTTTAGTTATACATATTATACTACTTATAATAGTGGCAATAGATAACCAAACTTGCCACCTAATAGTTTATCCTTTTGGAATCTTATTCAAATGTATTTGTGTAAATTACGTCAGGTCATGTATATTTATTATTATTAGAAGCACTTAGTAACTAATTTAGATATTTAGAAGTGAAGCAATATACTATAAACATGAGAAAAATAATCAAATTATTTATAAGCAATTTACCACAGCTTGAGCACTTGACATTCTCTAGAGCTATTGTATATTTGATATTGTCGGGGAATCGGCAAGATTTGTCTAAAATAAAAGGCAAATATTAACATGATAAATCACAATATTGTGTTTTCAGTTTACCTGTGCAACGAACATTTGATGTCATTCCTTGGACAGAAATATAAATCGGTGAGCAGTCGCTTACGGACTCATCGGTGCAAAAAGTACTAATATCTCGGGACAGTTCATCGGATTCGATGTTAGTACAATTTGCTCCATGTGCATTTGCTCTCGGATTGGCATCAGTTCTTGATATACACACGGCGATAGTGCCAGTACCTTGTCCTCGAATCTTCAAAGTTTGCCCTTCGTAGAAGTAATTCGGCGAAATTTTATGATAATTCACTCCATTGGGATCAACATATTGAGTTATTTCAAAGTTGCTGCTTTCTTCAGTTTCGAAAGAGGAGCCACAGGCGGGGTTGACAACACTTCGTGGTACTACGATTATATTTAAATATAAGTAATTAAAATAAAAATATGGTTTGAAGATTACTTTTTCTTAATCTGTTAACGATGTCTTTAGCTTTTTGCAGAGTCTCATCACGGTTTTCAGAAATTGTAAATACATCACTGTTAGAATTTGTGGCAATGTTAGAGTACGATGATGCACTTCCAGATCCACCAACAATAATTCTAAGATCTTGAAAAAATATTTGAATTGCCAGATGTTTCAAGTCACCACTTACCTGGCAAAACACTCTTAAAACTCTCTTTTTCAGTTTTAACATAATCGCTCTCGCTTGAAGTTGGTACCTTATGTGGTAACATTAAAATAATCATTGATTGTCCAGTCAAATCAGTGGCATTGTCTAATTTTGCTTTAAATGTTACTTCCGCCGTTTGTATAACTTTCATATAGTCAAACCCTGCCGCATCTAAAACGAAAGCTAGATATGTATAATTTTGGGTCAAATACTCACATTTTTGGTGTTGGGTGAGGTTATATTGGTCATAAAAATCTAAAATACTGGTTGATCTATTGACAATTGGGTTACAGCTTTGGCCGTCAAGAATTGTATAAGAAGTTTCGTATTTATTAACATCGATATTTTTTAATATGTAGGAAATAATCGGCTGAATTGTCTCATAAGCCCAGTTTATGTCAACAAAAATTAGTAAATGTGTAGACACTCGCTCAATTACGTCGTTTTCAGCCGAACATTGTACATCATTCAAATTGCTCCCTGAAAAGTACATTTTTGGTGTTGAAAATTTAACGTTGCATTTGTTACCTAAATAATTTCTCAAGCTCTCGACAGCATCTTGGGCGAACATGGGAAAACTTGTTTTGATAGGTGTGTAATCATACTGTGATTCTTGATCTAGTAAGTAATTGAATGAGGAAGTTTGTTGTACAAGTTTCTCACTTGCTATTAAATCTTGTGTTAACTTTTTACGATTACACGCCCTTGCTGTATCATTAAAAACGCCTCTACCATAATAAAGATCCAAAATTTGTGAAATTTTTAGATTACTCGACTTCGAGTTCCAGCTTTCGATGTTAAGAGCCAGAAACAAACCATCGAGACCACCACGAATTTCGGCATCGGTGAGGTACAAATGATCTTTATCCGAATTTGTCAAAAAGTAGTATTTCTGATCAACGGTGGTGTTCCAGCTGCCTTTATTTCCGACAATTCTTGGTTTCCCTGTTTCGTACAAGGCAACTTCCGACAGTTCCCCTTAAATTTATTATTATTTGATTTGACACTTCACATCAAGCATTAAATACCTGCAATTGTGCTAGCATAAGCCGAATCGACAGAACCTTGTCCATTGGATACTGGCACTGAATTTGGTTGAAAACCGGCCGCAATTCCGGCTAACACAATCCCAGCTTTGATTTCACCCCATTTCGTGTAAATTACACCGCTTTCAACCGGGCACCGATTTTTAGCCGATGGTTCCGTTTCAGCAAATTCAGTTTCTCGTTTTTGGACTCTGGATGTGTAATGTGCTACTTTATTGCACATAGAATCGTCGGCTAATTCGTGCAAGTCAATAGTACTCGAAATCATAAAATGAAGCGAACACTACGAAAACTAGAATTAACATCAAATCAAATATTGGGGTTTTGCATTTACGGCTTGCATCGACGTTAAGCTGTCGTTATTGAAAGAGACTGCGTTCCCGGGTGTTACTTTTTTCAACTGGACTCGGTTTTTGTAGGACTCTTTTCCTTTAGGGCTGAAGGGGATTCCCTGAGTGATGTCTAGATCCTTCGTGGTTCTTCGGATGCCGTCCTGGCGAAATCTACACATACATGTGAAATAAGAAATTTGATCGTAGCCTTGAATCTCTTAAAATGATGATTAGTCAATCTGATTTATACCTGTGAAGAATTTGGTAAGAAAGTTCTCTGGCATCACTAAATGCGTTTCCATCTTCGATTCTTCGAATAATGTCGATCAGAACATTGATGTCTGATGGTAACCTGTAGTCCCTTATGACAAACTGTGTGGTATTGTAACACCCCTGTAACGCCGGTGCTAGATTTGTACCCGCATTTTCTTGACATAAACTCGCATTTATAAAAAATATAAACGCTATAAAAATTTCTAGCACTTTCATTTTTCCTGTAAAGAGAGAAATATCTATTAAACTTATCACACCTAGAGAATTTCATCACATTGTATTATCGCAATCTGATAAACATTCTAGGTAATATGAGGTCACTAATTACTTTAAATGGGGCGTTGGATGGGCCTTTTTTCGGATTTTTATGATTATTGCTTTATGTTTCATGATTTGTTTAATAATAAGAGTATTAACAAGTGATAATAAATACAAATAGGCACAAATGTGATATTGAAATATTATTTGAACAAGATAAAAGAAATGTCGCCACAGGTGCAAAGAAAGTTTCTTGTTGAACACATACAAGTAAATAGAGTAGTTGCTTATAAAGTTATGAAAAAATTGTTAAATGATAAAAAAATACTTACTCTGAAGACTAATGGCAAAACAATACATCACACCTGTTAAAGTGTAGTGAAATAGACTTGTAAAATTAAACGGGACACTAGCGCAGATTAGGTGAATCAGTATTGATAAGATAAGGGGCTAGTATTTTTCTCGTAAATATTGACACAAAAATTTGTAACATCTCCGTATGGTATGTGTGATATAATAGGATGGTAGTGTTTTTTTAAAGATTTATTTAATATTTACATAAATAAATTAATTATTTCGAATTGAGTCTAGTTTTTTGGAATTTTTTGAATATGTTGCGACTGAGATAAATTATGTTCAGTTGAGGTAAGCGCAAGGTTCTCCTCTTGAAAATTCACGTCGTCTATATCTGAAATTTGATTCAGCGATCCGTTGCTAGGTATTTTGCCATCAAACACTGGTTCGGCTCGCCCAAAGCTAAGTCTGGCATTTTTTCGTGCATAACTGCTAAACGCTTCGGCTAAATCAGGGTTAATATCTTCCAAGGGAGTATCGCCAGGTCGAATGTAAACGGGTACATACCCTGGTAGAGCCGGCAGGAATTGTCTGGCTTTGCTGACAGCAGGAGCTGCTTCTGAAAATTGACCCGTAAAGAAATGGCCGATTAATTAAAACAACGCACCAGCAGAGAAGATTAATCCACAGATGAGGAACAGGTCCAGGGTTCGCGAAAACATTCTCTTCTCTTAATGAACAAACAGCTACACTGAGATACACTGAATGACTGGCCATTGACTCGAAGAATACCTTTTATATGCCTTCATCTGCGAATTTAATCTTGAATTTCCAGTCCATGTATCGAGAAATTTTTCGCCAATAAGGCAATATCTACGAGAAATTATCCCTAGGGACGCTGCTGAAAGTGCCCAAAGTTGATTTTTATTACTGTTGACTTCAAAAAAAAATTTGATAATTTCTCTTCTTATGCTTAACACAAGAAAGTCAGAGAAAGTGTCCATTAAAATTTTGATAAATCCTGCAATCGCACAATTTTTAATTATTAGTTTGAAACCTGTGTCTGCATATTTCGAGAACCATAAAAAATAAAGGGGCACCTTGACTCATTATAGTATGACCTAACCGGAGGTGGATTCAACATGATGTCTCAAGGCAAAATACCATAAACCGAACGTTCTCTCAAAAACTTAATCGAAAAACAATATACAGTTTAGACAACAACATAATCTTCAATTAATTCAATTTAGGAAGAAAATTGTTATTTCTAAAACGATCACAAAACTTCTCTAAATTCAAACGGTTCAAATGGAGCACATTTAATTAAACTATCGGTAGTGGTAACAGTGGGGTTTGTGAATGTAACATCAAAGGGGTAGCAGCTCTTTTCATTACCATAACATTGTCTCATAAAATGAAGATTCTAACTAAACTAATTACCAGGCTTTGTGTGCTAATGATATTAATCAGTAGGTTTAGGCGATTTCTTTCATTTGATTTTTTTATTTTCCAAAATTCATAATAGAAATAAATATTGTGGTGAGGAGAGTGTACAATTCGAATTAGTCTTGAAAATCAATAAAACCAAAAGCAGTACGAAAAGAAAATTGTAACTTTATTGATTGTAATTAGAATTCGCGATTAGAAATTTGACGAATATTAGTTCTAAATTTATACTTTAAATGAGTAAAAATAAAGAAATATTAATCGTCTTGACTGAATAATTTAATTTATTTATTTATCTTTAGTTGCAGTTGCTATGTCGAATTGGATAAACATAATTAAATAAACCGTGACTGCTCCCACAATCTGAAAAATAAGATTAATATGTTCATTACAGTTGTAGTAAACGTTTATTTGTAACTTACTGTGTGTAAAAGTGTTCCATTAATTAGAAAGAAACCGCAAGCACTAAATTCGAGTTTTTGATGTGCCAGTTGTAAAGAGAATAAGTTAATCTAAAATTAAAAATGAATTACAGAGTTGCTAATTTGATATAAATGTGTACATTTCTTATCAGAATTGAATCGGTTTTACTGATTGGTATCCTATACAGCAACTTTTTGATTCTTCTGTATTCCAAAACCGTTAGTTCACATACTGTTACTGTTACTAAAATTTCGAGCGCATTTGTAAGTATACAAATTAGTGGCAGAAAAATATCGTGAAAATTTTGAGGAATGACCATTTCGTCATCGTATATATACCCAAAGATGCAAAAATACAAAGAACAAAAAATGCCTATGAACTGACTTGCTATTTTCATCAACAAAGGAACCGAATATATCGTTTGAATCTCATTATGAGTAACAATTATTTCATTGTGAATGATTTGCACTTGGTTCAAAAAGTTCTTGTAGTGTCCATTGTTGAGTTTGCAGCCTTGTTTTATATATTGATTGACAATACAAAACTTCTGCTTCAAGACAACAACAAACGCGCAAAACTGGATTAGCATAACTTGTGACATTTTGGATAAAGTGTACAGCACAATCCATCTGTATAAACATCTCCACGTCGTGTTATTGCAATGCAACATGAAGTTTAGAAAAAATGAGATCCATATCAAAATCAAGAAAAATAATTCACACGTGATGAAAATTTGTGTATGTTTATATGACTTCCATATTAGCATGTGCTTTAACTTGTTGTCTAATTTATCCAATTTATTTATAACTTCAATAAGCCTGTTTTGGTAAAACAAACAAAAAAACACCGTTGCCACACCTGAAGCATTTATACTTGCACTAAATATTAAATCGGCAAGCTGCGTGACAATACTCAATTTTTGTGTAATTCGCAAATTTGTTGTAATATAAGCCATGTAACTTGTTAGGAAAACAGCTACAATGTTGTATATGTACTTGTATATTTTGTAAAAAGTGCGGCGTTCTTGACATTTTATTTTCTCGTCTATTGATCTCGGACATAGGAGGAATAACTTAGACAAGAACCACACATGTTTTAAGACATCTATAATATTTTCACTCCACATTTTAAATCAAGAATTATTTACATTGTATTTGTATTCAAGTGAGCTTTTGTACAGTCGTTTCTACGAAAATAATTGGGCTATGAATTATTTACCAACTAGAACTCTGTTTTGCTAGTTGAAACCGCCCTTAACTGATATTGTGGTTGCGGCATATTATTATTAATAATCATTATTTACGATACACTTTTTTAATATCATTAAACATGAGTAATAATCGAACAATTTTTATAAAAAAACACTTTGATTCACATTATTGATTAATATGCAAAACGATTACTTTTAGTAGGATTCTATACGAAATAATCCACGACAATGAGATCATTTTACCTTGAGTGTAACTTTTATTATTGGTGTATTTCATGTTTTATTGCATATGATCGTATATAATACATCAGTGGGTAACTTGGCGAGTTTTAAACAGGATCTCACTTCAGTTATTGATTTTTTAATGTAAACGGTGGGTAAATTTTTGTGGAGAAATTATTATGAACTTTAAGATAAATTCGATAGTAATTTCTTTCAAATGCTGAATCCATTCATAAATAAAATCTAACGAAGGACATTTTTTACAGGTATTAGTAATTATTAACCAAAAGTAGAGTCCATTTAAACGGATCTTAGTGAATCACCATCATTTCATCAACATTCTTGTTGCTCATTCAAACCACAAATTTTTTTGTGCATCTCTTCTTAAAAGCGTTTTTCGGATCGTGATAAGTGTAAACACTTATTAATTACGTTTAATTTGTGGTTTTATATAGTAATTTGCAATGTTGGTTGCATAGAAAAATCAAGAAAAAAAATGGAAGCGAGCTTTTGTTGCGCTCTATTAAAATTGTGGTTAGATTTATTGTTCCATTCGTCGAACTTTGCAAATAATATTTTCCCGGCTGTACAAGGATAGAACCAAGCAACAAAACAAATTTCAATATTTTTTACATTTATTTTATTATCATTGAAAAACTTTACAATCTAGAGTGAAGATCTTGTATATTAGTTTAGTGGCGCTAACTTGTCGTTAATTTGGCTTCCCGGATCACCGCTGGTGTAAACTCGCCCCCTTGACGGATACCACTTCAAGCCCTTTGTCGCCTCCGTTTTGAAAGTACAGGTGAATCCTGTCGCTGGTCTTTCTCCAGTCGATGGTTTGAAGACCGTTCCAAGTTTGGGATCAAAATTTGCGATCCCGTAAGACTTCGGATACCAAATTAATTGCGGAGGTGGGTTTTCCCCAAAGTAGTGACTGTGATAGATTTGGTCGAAGTGCGGAATCCTGAGTATTGTCTCTTCTTTTGCGTTGATACGAGTATTGGGGATAGCCTGTTCATCCCTTATATTATTTTGAGTTTGCGTTAGCGTTAAAGGGAAATTGTACTCTTTGTTTGCATTTTCCAAATACAAACTTTGCGGTGGAAATGCATTGAATGTTGGGGTAATTGGCACTGGAGAAGCGTCAAGTGGTTTTGGTTCATTTCTGTCGCCAAAACTGTCAAGTTTTCCTACAATTATGGGAACGTCATCCACATCTTCAGTTTTATTGTTTTTAATTACGCCAACTTTTGTTTTAATTTCGACCACAACGTCGGTGTTGATAGATTCATCCGATTTATCAACTTTGACGTTATTACAGTTTTCTCCCGAGCGACATACAACCCCGTTTTCTCCTACTTTGTAAGTTAGTTTTATTTTATCGTTGATTATTGGTTTGTGTGATCTACTATTAGAGTCAGCTATGAGTTTAGGTTGATCACCGAAATCTAATTTAGATGAAATGCCTGTTGCACTATCTGTAAACGAAATACTCATTTTTTAGCACCAAAACTGCCATGTTATCAATTTTAATAAATGACAATCTCTCCATTACTTAATTTCAAACTTTTCACTTTCATAACTCATTCATTACTCATTTGAGTTTAAAATCGAACGGAAATTCAATGAGTTATATAACAATAATTAAGAAAAGCAAAATTGATTATTTTCAAGTGTCCACTTACACATGTTTACTTGAACGTAGATTTGTACCAGCCAGAACAACACCTTGCAATCCATTATCACATCTGAATCACTTTATTTCTTCAAGAAGACTGAAACTACAAATTGCGTGAAGACATTTGTCGTGACAATTTCAGAGTAAATAATCAAGAATTTAATAATGTTAGAGATGTTGGTCTCCTTCATCCAGTCTCAAGGTGAAAAAAAAAGTGTTTCTTGATTTATAATTGCATAATTAGTTTCCTTTATTTTACTGTGAGTGTTATAATTACATAAAGCTATGTCCCATCTGATTTTAAGATTAGGCCTTGCTGGAGAATTAGCAGAACTAACCGTAAACTTATCAGTAATAATCATTAGCGACTCGTACTGCCTGAGGAACTATTTACTTGATGGAACAATTCCACGAATGCTAGGTAACAATTTGGTGTTTTTGCAAAAAAATTGTGTGAGGAAAAATTAGAGGTTTAAAAAATACATCGTCACTACTATCAGTACACATTATTTTTTAAGGAATCTATCCCGTTTTTTAAGGTACCCTTTTAACCCTTTATTGTTATTTGGTACATTATTGTATCACATGCTCTCACGGTCGTATACTATACTATACATTCCTATGAGAAAATCTTTATGCACCAGTCTATTACCAGAAATCATTTTCTGGTACACATTTGCACCACATGCATCTAATACGCCATCTACACGTGAAGTGGTACGTATACGTACCAGTGGTGTTTAAACCTAAAAGCTAAAGATAAGTACTTTTTTTGATAAATAAACTATAAGTCTGCCCGTTAAAGGGTTAAGAAGTTGAAGTTTCAAGGAATCTACCATGTTTTTGCAAAGGTACTTTTTAAAAGAAAGTCAACATTTTAAGAAAAATGCCCTGTTTTTTCCAAACATGAACACGGTTTCGTCCAAACAAATTCACCTTTGAAAACACTTAAAATTCGCATTTTGGCCCTGTTTTTAAGGGTAGCAGATATATTTGTTCATTAATATTAATGCAATTTATTGAATATCAATGTATATGCAATCATATACGTATAATTAATTAATTTTAATTTGTAAGGGGGGGGGTTCCTGAATCTGGGGTTGAGCGATTACCACAAACAAAATAAGAATAAAATAAATATAGGTGTTTTCTTACCTTAGGCCTAAAAAATGTTTTAAGAGGACTGCAAATTCTTCTTTTTGTACCCCATTTTCAAGTGTTAAAAGGACGGTCTCTTTTCGTCAAATATAATCCTTAAATTGGTTTTCTTAGCCTCAATTAAAACAAATTACTGATAGTGAGCCATTATCTCCAATGGCTCTCAATTTTCTTCTGATTTGCCCTATTCTCTTCTGGGCAAGTGCAGGATCGATTTTTCTAAGCTTTAAAAAACTTCGACGTCATTCATTTTTTTCTTATTTCTTACTTCCTATCTCTTGTCGTACACTTTTCTGTACAATATTGTCCAAAACTCTTCATTTGATCGAGCCTGAGGTACATTGGGAGAACTGTCTCTTTTGGGTACAAAATTTATATTTGTTTTGGTTAAGCCATTTTGAAGCTTTTTTACTGTTGTGGAATGAAGGCAAATCAGACCAAAACATTACATCATCATTGGCATGATGTGTATTTAAAACTTCATTGAGTTTGGAAAGATATTTTTCAATATAAATGGTCTTTGAAAAAAACACCAAATTTTCGAGCTAATTTTTGTTGTGAAACGTTTTTTTATGGCTTCAATCATTCTTTGTTCCCCCAAAATTCTGGGTGAAATTGTTGTTACAGAAATATTTAGTTCTCTATAAATTGGAGCCATTTTACGTTTAGCCATTTGCCCAACTAACGAATATCTATCTAGCTTATAAGACATTTTTGAAAACCCAAATGAAACAACTAACTGCCATAACACAAACAAGTTAATTGTCATACTTTACGTCCAGTAACACCATTTGGTATAAATAAAAACCATATAAAAAAATTCCCAAAACCATACGTTAACTGGTTGGGTGACTTTGAATAGTTTTGTCTGAACATCTTGCTTGTTACAATATTTGGTTCAATATTAGAAGTTTACACGTCGCTTCTGTTCGACAAGCAGTTGGAAAAAGGAAACCATTAAATTTGATATTTTATTATTATTATTGGAGTATATGTCATTTAATTATTAAAATAGGTAGGTAATTGAGCTTTTACCAGTTGATCAACAATGCATACAAAGAATTAAATGTTTCAACGCGTTAACATTTTATTGCTAGATCTACAGTAAAATTTTGCCTTATTAAAATTATTATATTACAGTTCGAGAAACAATTATTATCAGCTTCTGTTAAATCGACTTCTTTTTATTTGCTTTTATTAATGTTTACTAAACAAAAAAAAATTATGTGTCATAGGTCTTCGGAATTCTTAAATCCTATTATTACTGTTACGTAAGAACTAATTTTTTTTTGAAATCAGAGTTAAGCAAAATTAAAGATAAATTAAAAATCAGTCATTAAATTCTAGTGATCGTGCTTGTTTAATTTTTTTACGACGCTGTGTAAAATCAAAACATTTTTTTTTAATTGGTAAATCTGATTGATCTGATTAATCAACATTAACTATGACCTTTAATCATTTGTAGTACTTGTTATTTATCGTCTTCATTTTTTGTTGATTATTTGATGCTCAGGTTTATTGCAAATAACTAAATTAGAGTTTGTGAATTTAAGTTTGCTCCAGTTTGGTCAAGCCTTTGAATGCACTGAATGTCTCATCATGAGCAAAAAAATTGTTCACAGGTTATAAGAAGAGGAAACAAGAAAGCTGTATCCTAAATTGTAACTCTGTTTAATGTTATTTGTGTATTTTATTGGCAAAATTTTTGTATTTTTACTAAATAGTTATAAAAATACATAATACAAGATCATTAAATAGACATAAAAAAATGTCAAATGTCAAAAAACTAATGTCAAAATAGAATTTTTTAATCATTTTTTCCATCTTTTCTTACTTGAAATTTTTCTCTGGGGTGCGAGTTCTAACACCCTGTATATTTTTATCAATAATTTCTTTTTCTTCGTTCCTTAATTAATCATTTCCTATATCATCCTTTCCCTTTCCTGGCAAGAATGCTCTAAACCTCCTCGTTCATCTTGCTGGGCAAATTAATTTTTTTTTTTCGTTTTGTAATACACAAAACACAATAACGATAAACATAATATATGTCTCATCAAGTCATCACAAATACCTAGAATCGTTTTTAACACAAAATTAATTTGGCCAATTAGAGCTGTCCGTAAAGACCAACCCATATAATAATTCTTAAGCACAAAACGTCCTCAGTGAAATTAATATAAACATTATGTTTTATTTTTTTAGGTTTAAGTGTTGGGCTTAGTGCCTTTATATCACACCCTCTTGGTAGGTTCACATTAAATTATCTTTTTGTATTTACTAGACAATATGTAAATGTGATGCAATAAAACATTATAATTATTATAAAAATGTTGTTTTAATTTGTTATACCTATATTTTTTTATTGTATAAAATTATTATAGTTCAGCTTCATATTATTTTTAGGAGAACCTTTCGTCTTTGCAGTTTTAATCACTTTTTATTTGTCATATTTTTCAAATTTCTTTTTGCAAAGTGAGATAAATAAAATTCTTCATAAACTATAGCTCACTGTGTATCTGCAATATAATCTCTAATCCTTTTTTCAAAAAGTTACTTTTTTTCTCTTTTCTTTAAATCAGTGTTAAAGGTATATAGTTTCCAAAAAATCATAAATAGACCTTATAAGACATTTATTATAATTTTTGACACTACCCTTATATTCCCTGTGTGGTGATTGGTTTTTACAATTTTTTTCTCGCACTATTATTTAGCATTGCGTGGTAACCGTAGCACAGAAAAAATATTCAAAAGATCTCAAAACTAGAAACTTAAAGCTTCAAAATGTTTTTTTTTTAATCTAGATACGACCATTTTTCGATGAATTATAGCCTTTCAAAAATGACCACAAAAATTAAGAAAACTTTTTGTTCCTTTAATTTTTTGGAGTAGTGTAAAACGACACATTCTATCGAAGGTCTTTATTTCAAGACGTGTAGAAATCGACTGAACTAATGCTAATTTCCCGTTTTTGTGCCTCAAGTGGTTCCTATCTCTCCCCTGGGACTGTTAGTTACGTATTCCTGACGTCTGGGAATACCGATAACCGTGGTGTTACCTTGAAAGAATAGGGGGTTGGTTTAGCGTCTGTTCCCGGCGATCCACATATACACAGTTATTTAATAACTTGCATTAATAAAATTGACAAACATATCAGCTACCCTTAAAAACAGGACAAAAAGACGAATTTAAAGTGTTTTCAAAGGTGAATTTGTTTGGACGAAACCGTATTCACGTTTGGAAAAAACAGTGTATTGACTTTCTTTTAAAAGGTACCTTTGCAAAAACATAGTAGATTCCTTGAAATTTCAACTTTTTAAAAAGGGTACCTTAAAAACGGGGTAGATTCCTTAAAAAAATAATGTGTGTTGAGGAGGCCTTACTAGTAGTATCGTTAATACAAAAAATTATATTTAATAATACAAATATTCAGTCATACAAGGTACACATCTTTTATATACAAGTATATCGGTTAGGTTACATCACGTATAAGTTACAAAAATACACACACAATAAATTATTTTGGCACAATAATCTACACATATCTAGTTAACTGTGTGTAGAAGTCTTGTAGACATATATGGAGTTGCGTGAAGGTTGGTCGTTCTTCTGCACTCATTGCCCAGCAGTAAGCCATAACTGCAAACCTATAAAAAAATTAAAAAAAATCAGTTCAAATGAAGCAATAATACTTACAGTTCATCGGGACAATTTATCGGTTGTGCTAATCTGTATCCGTCTTTGAGGTAGGCGACAATTTCGAAAGGATCTATTTCTACGTATGGTTGTTGAGCAAGTGTTGTTAATTCCCATAAAAGGACTCCAAATGACCAGACATCGGAACTAAATGAAAATGTCTTGTGAACAAGGCTTTCAATGGCCATCCACTTAATCGGACGATTTTCATTATCCCCCAAACAGTGATAATCAGACGGGAATAGGTCTCTTGAAAGAGCATTATCGGCCACTTGTACATTAAGTTTGTCATCAACACTACAAACAATGTATATAAAACATTATTCAAGTCAGTTTGGTGTAATACTCACATGCAATTCCTAGTAGCCAAATCTTTATGAAGAAGATTTTTCTTGTGAAGATATTGCATTGCTTGAATTATTTGTAACGCCATGTCTACCACTTCTTGAGTTGTGAGTGTATGGGAAACTCCCTCAGGAGATAGTTTACATTTTTGTAGGAATATTTTTAAATTACTGTAATTGTTGTAAGTGTAAAGCAAAAACGGTGCTGTGTGATCTTCGATTGACACCCTTAAAATACTAAGGATGTTTTTATGATTAAGTGAGTACATTGACATTCCTTCTTGTAGTAAAAGTGATATTTGTATTTGACTGGCATGGTCGGTTACTGTTTTCACTATCACTGGCTCGTCAACCCCGTCTTCGTTGGTGTATGACCCTTGATAAACCCGGGCAAAAGTCCCTTCCATGATTACATTGTTCAAGCGGACTCGGCATCTACAAAAATTGGGGTTGAATGAATTCAAATGACTTATGATTTACCTTTGCACAGTTAATTCCGTTATCCTTTCTTGTAAATCTTTGGATCGTTCATCAATGAGAGAGTAGCTAGGCATTCGCCGAAAGCTACTGTAGGACGTACTAACGGTATTTTTTGGTACTGTAGTGAGAAAGGTTGTCGTGGGCCCCGTAGTACCACTATTGGTATCTCTAGTTTTTTTATTCCTCACATAATACATTGCAGTTACCGAAGTAAGAATAAATATCAGAATTAAAGCCGAAACAATTGCGGTATAAAAAATACTAGTTGAATTTGAATATGTCGGCACTGTATGAACCAAGACATGATTATTTTGCATCTCAAACTTTGTACATATTTTTTTCCTTTTAAACATAAGTGTTGTTACATTTGAAGGTGTAATAGTAACACTTATTGTTATAGTAACATTTACTTCTCCTGTTGCAACGCCTGAGCATGGCAGAGACAAGCTGAAGGTCTGAAGAGTATTAGGAACGGAGCCTCTAGAAGTGATATTTAATTGTGGCGGAAGTAATATTTGAGAATCCGAAGTATCAACCTTTATGGTGTATAATAACTGCAAGACGAATCAAACGAATGATGAACAAGTAAAATTAGTATTTACGTACTGGTCGATCTGCCAAACTTTCCCAAGTGAAATGCAAGGAATTTAAACTGGACGGCACTGGCATTACAAAATTTAACGCATAGTTGTTTATGTTCCCATCTCTAACATAATAGAGTTCTGCTTCTAGACCTAAAGAAATTGTTTAAAATATTATCCTACTTCCACACTATGTAAACATGCAAGAAGATAAGACCTGACTTACCTAAAAGTCTTTGAACCTCGGATAAACTGAGATACAAATTTAAATAACCGAAAACTAATTGCGACGTCAGTAAAATAATAAAGGCGGAAACGAAATTTTGATTCATATTGGAGATCAGTAATACTTTCAGTCACATTTTGTAAATAAACAATTGAGATCAATTTTTGAGGATGAGGGTTGTGTAAGTTCACATTGCACATAACACACTTAAATCAGTTTAATTCTTTCATTTTTTGGCCGAAACAACGCCCAAACCCAATATGAAATCAATTTGCCCTCTTTGAATCTTCTGTGTCTGTTCGCAGCAGCCACATTCCGACCACTCACCACGCTTCAACGAATCTCTTATTTCTTACACCGAAATGAAACGACTCTTTTGTCCACAGCACGAATTTAACCGAAGCACAGAAATAAATCAATTGATGTGGGCTTAAATTTAACAGTTAACTCTTTGTGTATTTTTACATTTTTTAATTTCGGTAAAATAAAATGCAAATAAAAATAAATGATTATAGAGATGCTAATTTAAATCGCCGCAAAAATGTTAATTTAAATGCGCATGCGTGGTAGGTGTATTAATAATCAATAAACGTGCAGCCTGTGTGCGTCTTTTTTGTAATTTGGCGCTATTTTTTACTGTTCCAATACTTTGAAATAAAACAATTGTAGGATTTAACAATTTATTTAGAATATTAGATAAATAATTATAAACAAACAGTAAAATAAATATTGTATAATGCCTCTTTAAAACTTTAATTTTGAACTGTTTGTTTTTCCTCCACTGCCGGATTCTCCGCTTTATCGTCTTTCTCTTCTGGTTTATTTACATTTTTCTGTTCTGAGCCTGTGGCTTCAGCAATTGTCGAAGTTGCGGTAATACCATTAGCAGCATTGATATCTGAAGCTGCAATAGCACAACCTTCTTGATCCGTTTTGACAAAGAAAGTTCTGCTGATTTTAAATTTGTCTAAAACTCCATAGGCTTGCTGCAAGACAACACCTGATGGTAGCCGTTCTCGCGTCATCACCCATGCGCTTTCTAAAAAATTTTTATGAAAAAAAATTAGATTTTGACGTAAACTTACGGGCATGAATAGGACCAAAGCCGCTACAACTCCAAATAACTGCATAGGAGTCGTAATCTGTATCTAAAACGGTAAGGGCTGTTTCGCTCGCGATGGGGGTTGTTGAATATTTGACATTTAGTTTTCCTTCTCCTGCTTTACCGCTGAGTTCTAAGCTTCCGTCAATGACACGTTTTACGCCCGTCCTGGAAGTTGTTCATCATTTATTGAAATTTTGAGAAAAATACTTACAATCTATTGGTGACTTCGTTGGAAACGTAAATTCGTCCACTAGGTGCTTTGGCATAATCTGTGACAACACATCGAGTGGCAACTTCGGAAAATTGGAAATACCTTTCGGCTTCGTACCATTTTCCTAGAAACCTTTCTATGTCAAAATCTGCCATTGGGAGGTAGTCTGGACAAAAGCCCAAATTAGGAATTTGGGCTCTTGTGGCCACAACGATGGAAACGAATAAAATCAAGTGTACTGTCTTCATGATTACCTATAATGTTTTACTCCGTGATGTCTTTACCTCTGGTTTATATAACTTTGCTGTAAACCGCTATTTGACTCAACCCATTGCGTTCCTCGAACCTACAGTATCACCTTAGTCGTTAAAAAATCTTGCATGAAAGGTATGATCATGAATAGACTAGTAAAAATTTGACGAGGGAGTATTTCATTGTCGATTTTTGTGCATAACATTTACGCATCTTTTATTCAAAATTTAGGACACGTTATATGGAATACCTAAACGTTACTTAAAACTGCAAAAAGTCAATGCCCTAGGTTGGCCTTCTGAACCTTTGTAAGCAACGAACTCAGTCATCATTTCTAATGTAAACAAGAAGTACCTAGGTAGTACTACTCCACACTTGTTCTGTAGACATTTGTACAATCCTCCTATTACATGTCTTTTAGGGATACGTATTTTTTTTTAATTTAGTCACCCAAAAAATTTAATTGTGATAAATTATACAACTTTTTCTCTGTTGATATATTCCACGTATTTCTAGGCTGATTCGTATTCAGTTCTAAATTATTTATACCCGATTACCTACATATAAACAATGTGGTACCGACACAAAATTGCGAGTAACGCATGATAAGTAATTTTATTATAAGTCGGCTGATAAAAATAAATGTTTCTCATACTATGGAATTTGGGCATGATGTCGCATATTATACAGACTCTTATTTGTTTTTTGTTTATTGAAAAATTACCACCTACACCTATTGTGTGGTTATACAGTATGTCTCCGGATTGGGTTTACAACAGGAAAAAAAAATTATCTTTGGTTTTACGCCAAAATTGCAAAGGAAAAACATTTTTTGCTAACCTGAAACAAGCAAATTCGTAATTAAAACTTCATTATTCTGTGAAAAGAAAAGCTCATTTTTCTCTTAATTTTGGACTTGTAATTTTTTTCTATATGCTTTTTAAGTCCCATCACTATGGCGGTTTTATTTTTTTCACAACGATGTCACTTTGACAATTAATTAATTAATTGAACAATGATTGTTCTTGTTAAAAAATTACTTTGTTTTTTATGTTAAAGCCGTTTTTTTTGAGTTACCATTTATTAAAAAATTATGTTATTCACAAATATTTTTGTTATTTAACTTGCGTAAACTTATTTACTTCTTGTAAACTTAATCCGGGGACATACTGTAGATTTATTATCATGCTCAAAATAACATTTTTTTGTCTATTTTAAATTCTCTTATGTTTATTTTTTCTAGGACATTGTTTTATGTTCTAGGGGTATCAAAATTTGAAATTAATTTATAATAATACAGAAAATTTTTGACTTAATTTAATGAGACAAATTGATGCAATTTTGCAAAAATGAAGAAACTAACCGTACAATTAAAAAATTAAGCGAAATCTTTTATTTGAAAAAAATGTTTACAATTTTTTTACAATTTCACTTAATTAGAAAAAAGTGTTTTGAGAGGTGTGGATAAAACTTGAATCACGCAATCACGGTATATTTTTTAGTGTTGAAAGGATTAAATATGTTGTTTTTTTATCTAAATTCTTTTTGTTTATGATTTTGAAAAAATCCCAAATATAATATTTTACTAATCACCATTATAATATAACAATAAATTTGAAAAAAGGTGTTTACAAATAAAAGTGAGCATTAATCATTTTTTGCTTTTTGCAGGTATTTATTATTCATATATTTTTGCTGTACAATTGAGATGTTTGAAATAACCGTTAAATTATAAAAAATGGTGTTGAGAGAAGTAGCCAAGGGTTGCACATGGTTGTGACGTCAGTGCTCTTCTGATTGACTAAACTAAAGGCGTTTTTAATACAACGCATTGTAAAAAAAAGTTTAGTGGATTTATTTGTAGAAAAAATAAAATTGAGTTAACGTATAACTGTGTTATCACAAGTTCATTTTTAAAATTTTAGATTTTTTTTATAAAATCGTATCATGGCCTGTCGGCTATGCAACTATGAGTGCGTCACAATCCTGCGTATGCGCAAATTAAGATAAATTTTCTTCGACGGTTCTAACCTAAAACCGTAAATAATAATGTTTATTTGTCAAAACAACGGAAGTTTCTTTAAAAATTGTGTATTTTAGTATAAGTTTAATCAGACGGTTGTTTTGGTGTAACTTTGTGGTAAAGTTATCATTTGTCACAAGCCATGGGACCCTACAACAAATTGTATCTTGCCAAAAATTTGGACTCTTTGGATCTTCTTGCGAAGAAAGACTGTGGTGATCTTAAACATTGTAAATTTAATTCGTAAGTATTTTTGATTTAAGCTAAAACACATTCTGTGAGGTGTCATTACAGAATTTATAATTCTTTGAATACACTTTACAAGCAAAGTCAACTAAATGTTCTCGACCAAGAAAAAACGTACATCTTGCTTGCTAGATATTTGAACGTTTATAACTATCTTCTGAATGCCGAATCTGATAAAAAGTTTCTCCAAATAAGATTTGGTTCAGAGTATGAGAAGGTTTTACTGCATTATGAAAAGACTAAGAAGAGTCTCGAACAGAGATACGCCTTACTGGATAATGACAGCCCCGCAGTTCCTCAGTCCGAAGAAAAAGAATCGCAATTTGTAGCAAAACCGAAACAAATTTTTGACAGTAATTAGCAAAATCTGTGAAGTCATTTTACAAATCATGTTTTTCCCCAGGTGAATTTATAACTTGCCAACAATTATACAGTGCCTTACAGAAAAATTATAAGTTTTTGCTTGTTGACGCTCGTCCACAGAGTGATTTTGACGAGTCGCGCATTAATCACCCTAATTGCATCAACATCCCTGATGAAACTATTGCTGCTGGGTAGGTTTGAGTTTAGGATAAAAACACAATTTCATTTTTTGTCAAGTTTGTCAGCTAACGTTTTGGGGAAATTATTGCCGAAGGAAACGCAAGAGAAGTGGGAGTTAAGGGACAAGTACGATGTGATTGTATTGTTTGACTGGAATACATCTGCAGAAAACTTTGCTTTAACAAAATTGAACAAATTGCATTTGGCTCTAGTGAAAGTAAGTTGCAACTTTGTAATTATTTTCTCTGAACTAGGAGTTTTAGTGGGATTTGAATCGTAATTATAGGGAAAGGCCCGTGCTGCTAAATGGGGGCTATTTGGAGTTACTCCAGACCTACCCCACTCTGTGCATAAATCCACAGGTTTATCTTTACCAGAAAAACAATGAATTAGATGAGTTGCTTGAACTTGACGACATCACATACCCCACCGAATCTGACAACAAGACACACGTCATGGGGTCTCCTGATGACAGTCTCAGTGATGACACCTCTAGTGACAATCAAGTCACAACACAGGAGTCGTCGGAGGAAAAAGAGTACGTATTCACAAGACAAGACATTGTGAATCAACTAGAACACGAGAGAAATGAATTGAAGAAAATCACAGAGCAGTGTGATAAGGAAACTAGTATTAAAAATATCGCAAATTTGAAACAACGCGATGCGGAGGTGCAAGAGGAGATTGGTCGGCTTGAACACATACTCGATGATTACGATCAAAACTATGAGTTTGCTTTGGATGAGAATAAAGAGTCAAATAAAACCGAAGAGAATCCTGAGAAATTAAAGGATATTATTGATGAAGAAAGGGACAGAGAATTGAAAAAAGCCAGAGCTTTGAAGCCCAAAAACCAGGGATTACAAGGCGGAAGGGGTAACAACAACGAAATACCGGAATACGACAAACCTGTGGTTAATCGTGCGACCAAACCAACATTGCATACCTTGAAACTCCATCCAGGGGTTGAGGAGCTGGAGTTTATGGTAAATATTTGAAATTTTTTGTACTTATTGCCCATTATGATAAGTTGACACGTAGTCTTGCTGAAATTCTACAAAAAAATTCCAATTGTAATGCAGGATTATTCATCACAAGCTTTGAATTTATGTAATTGTTTTGAAGGTATATCATATCTAGTTTCTTGAAGCGATAAAAAATTAGTTGCTCGCGATTTTTTATTGAAAGTGGTAATTAGTATCAATAAAAATGCAAAAGTTTCTTGACCACTTCAGGCGGGCAAATGACAGGGTAAGAACTTTTTCATTTTGAAATTATTAATATCATAAACGTTTCGAGAATTATTAAAGCCGAAATTGGTTTATCGCAATTTTCTGATTGAGTAATTAACAATTTAAATACATTAATGATTTTTATACCAAAATTTTTACTTCATAGTTAAGGCCCCTTTAAAAATTATAATACATATTTCCACATTTTATATACGTTGGTCACCCACACAAGTGTTTAATTGGTTGTATAAAGTACAGATTTTATAACAACTCGCTTATTTGTTACGTTTATGGTAATTAATGATAAATAGATAAATCGTTTTTGATTTTCGAACAAGAGCCCAAGGTTAAAAGCGCTCGACCGAAGCCTTTGCTACACTTATTTGGTTTTCCCCATTTTTGTTTTTCACTAAACTAAAAAAATTGTTTTACTTTCGGTACTAATTATTTACTTTCGTTTTTTCTAACTTTTCTTAGACACTAAGAAATTGTGGAGATTTAACTTTTTGGACTAAAATATTTTCCTAGCACGCTTCACTTCTTTAATTAATTTTTCTGTGAACTATTGTTCATTCCTCCAATCAGTTTAATTAACTGCAATTGGAGGAATGTTCACTTAGGGAATCTGGCCGCAACATCTGATATTTTTTCTCAAGACTCCAGGTTTGGTAGGCTTGCGGAACATCCGAAATACGTGTTACATGAGTACCGCCATCCAGTGTTTCCGCAATATACCCGACATCAAAGACCTCTTCTGCAAAGGCGTTTATACGAAATTTATTATCCGAAATCCGGCAGCAATAATCCACGAAACAGCCAATTTGATTCGCCAACTATGGTCGAGACCAGTGAAATCAATCGATCCGCACGAGTTTTACAACAAAATCGGGCAATTAGAACCCACTTATAAGCTAGGAAATCACGAAGATTGCATGGAGTTTTTCCTCTTTATGTTAAACCACTTATGTGAAGATTGTCGGTATGATGTTCCTCTGCCCACGGTTTTGACAACAAGACAGAAAGCTTGGTACAACCAATTCGAGGGGAAAAACTCGATTTTCATCGATTATTTCTACCACCAGATTAGAATAACTCAGCACTGCAAACAGTGCGACAAAAAAACTTTCAAATTTGAGATTGAGAGTACGTTCATGTTGTCAGTTCCTGAAGAAGACTTTACTTTAGATGATTTGATGAGTGACTACATGGCTGATTATGTCATAGCGGAATATTGCTGCTCTAAATGCAAAAAGCCGGTAAACAACCAAAAGGAGATTATTTACGAACCGAAAATTATGGTTATTGTTCTTAAAAGGTATGGTTGTTTTTTAATAAGGGGATACTAAGTCTATTTTCAGGTACAGGCAGCTTGTCACTAACGGTGTCGTTATACTAAAGAAGATTGAATCTCGGGCTCATTTCAAAAAACGGGACTTCCGGCTTGGTAAAAGTCGTTATCAGCTAAACGCGTTTGCTATGCACTCAGGAAATATGAATTTTGGGCACTATACAGCTGCAGCTTTGACTTCCAAAGGGTAAGACGTGTTTATTCGTTAATGAAAAAATTGACTGGTATTTTCAGTTGGTACGAATTTAACGATGAAAATGTTAAAGCAATCAACATCAACGACGATTCACTTAAAACGAAGGCTTGTGTTTTCTTCTATTCGAGGTGTGATGAATAAGAAATTAGATTTGTGATATTATTCAAATGTTAGGTTAAATTGTACAAAATGTACAGATTAATAAGTGCTCTTTTTAATTAAAGTTTATGAAAGTTATCATTTTGAAATTTTAAGGGGCTTCTCTGATTTTGTTCTGTTCGATTTGAGAAGACTATTTTTAGATAAGTAAGCGTTGCGATGCATTTTTTTGTATTTCTACTTGAATATGTGTACTTGTAATGTGCCTTACGGAAGTCACCCTAAATATATATTTCAGTATTCATTTTTCCATTTCTTCCGTAGGTCACTTATTTGGTCTGATGTTGCATTTAAATGCAAACTTTTTGTAACAGACTGACAGTTCGTTAAATAAAGTTTTATCAGTTCTTTATTCGCGTCTCATTTCCGGGGTAACAAAAACCAGATTTACTTTTAATCTGAATTTATTGAGCATTTTTTGGTTAAGTCACTGGTGAGTCCTTTCAGAATAAAGCGTGTTTATGGGTAAAAAAGTGGTTTTTATCTGAGAGGACTTTGCATAATTTTACAATGACTAGATCTAAATTAAAATACCACTGGAATTATGACAATAGTAGGGCTAAATTACAGTGTTTATACGTATAAAAGCTGACAAGCAATCGCATTATAATATATTCATATCCAAAATACTGATTCTTTCTTATTATAAAAATCAAAATCACATTTTAGTTACAGATCTAGTTAAAATTGACAAGATTCGGCATAAAATCACAGAAAAAGAATCAATTTATCAATACAAAAGCTTCACTTTGGCACAACAATTGCCATAATTGACTATATGTTTGAAAATGACTTAAAACGTAACAAAAATAAATAATATCAATTAGAAAACTCATCTTTGGTGGAAGACTTAACTTAATACTGATGAAATAATACCAACGTTCGCCTTAATTGCACAGTATTGCTAGAATTGGAATCCACGCGCTACAAAAATAAAATCGGACTTGATTGGATTGACTTGCAATGTGATTTTTTTTATGCTCGTTATGTATGGTGTTGGTTATCACAGATATGCCACTCCCTTCCTCATTCAAGTCTTCATCATCGGTGAAATTGATTGTCTTGCCGTTACACAAGTTTTCTGAACAGAAACAGTACTGGACACTATTTGCTATTTTACAGTCGCGAATTCCAATTTCTTCACACGACCTTTCGACCAAATTTCCTGTGAACAATGTGTCAGCTCGTTTTTTTTTCACTTGTAATTCAATATACCATGTGTTTGGATGCTGCAAGCTTTGGCTGAAGGACAGTCTTTAATAAATGTTTTATCAGTGGGATCGAACTTATCACAGCTGATATTGGCTCTTGGCCCACAGACGTAGCATTGATGTGCCATTATAAAGTCGACTAAAACAGAATTACTGAATTGGGACGGTTTTTGGGGGATGATAATTACCCTTGTTAGAAATTCCTAGTAACACGAGTAAAACAACGTTTAAATTTAATTGACTTGAATTAAACACCATTTTAAATAATTGTCACAAGCGTAATATGGGTTAATTTGTTAAAAAATGCGGATTCTATACATAGCACACTGAATTTGTTAAACAAATTTATTTCTGCAATGTTAAAAATGAATAGATGCACTCAACAGACATGAACACAATTAATGAGGTTAACTGGGGGACAGAATTCACTGAACTGTTTACTCCGTTCCTCCTCTTCTTTGCTAAATTTATTCAGATTAATTAAAAATAGGCTTAATAACGACTCACTACACTCGCAATGTTTCTGTTTGACATATTTCATTAAACTGACATTTGAACTATTTCCATCTGGCACTGATGCCTACTCCCATTTAATAACACGATCTACTCAATGAAAAAAAAGCTACTTTTAGATCCCAGATATTTTATGTAAATTTATTTACAAAATTTTTTGGCAATTCGCAGTTAATTAAAACGATTATATTTTACTAAACGTCAAAAATATTAATTTTACACACACCTCCTGTTTTTCATGAAGTTAAATTGATGCGTAAATAACGAGTTACGTAATAATTCGTAAACAAAATAGTCAAATATAAATTTTCTTTGTGACTGTTTTATTTTGTTACCTCCGAGGGTTTTGTTTTAATATTACTTTTTATCAAATAATTTTTTACGTCCTATTTTATTAATTTTATGGATTTTGCGTTTTTTTGAACTACGTTACGAGGCCTACGTTTACAAGTGTACGCATTTTTTTTTATGTTGACGTATTTCTAAAGTCCTTTAATTTCGACAGTATTCTTACGTTGCGTGTTTCCTTATTTTTTTTCGATTTACTTTTGGACCTTTTTTTTAAGTCTCATATGAACGATTTTATATTTTTAGTTTCTTAAGTTTGCGTTTTTCTAATTGTGGTGGTACAGGGTGCTGCATTTTGGATGTCCGAATAGGGAATCTCCGAAACTAAGATGTTTAGCCAAAAACGAGTGATACATTCTGGGGCTCATTTTTTGAGAAAATAATATTGGTTAAAACCGCATCTCGCTATCGTCTTTTGTTTTCGACTTCAGACAAAAGTTGACATTTTGGCGAAATCTAAAAAAAATCATATCTTCGTTATTATAGAAGATACGGATTTGAAATGAAGACATTATACAGGCACTTTTTTACGAGGAATTTAATAATGTTTGAGTTATTGATTTAGCTGTAATAAAATAAACTTGTATTTTTTTAAATGGAAATCACTGGCGGCTATAGCAATTTTGAAAAGCTTATTTTTTTCTGATCTAAAAAATATATATTTGTAACAGAATATTTTTTTTTATAATTATACTTAGAAAATGAAATACATATTTTGTTTGATAATAGTTGGCCATGGAAAAACTATTTCACTCCAAATGTGTAAATAATAATCAATAAGAGTTTTGTGAACTGTAAAATAGATGAAAAAAAATAGATAAAATTATAAAAATTTAATAAATACGATACCGTAGAAGTATTGAACAAATATGCCAGCGCCTCAGAACAAAATTATTACATATTTTTAAAAAATCCAAAAATAGGAAATGTGTCAACTGTCAATATAATTAGAAAAAACTTTTTTTTGATGATCTAATGGAGGTATAGGATAACATACATAGACGGAATTTGTGTATTTGAATAATCATATCGTCACTTTTGTGTCATATAAAATATATTTTATTGAAGAATTAAAGCGGCTTTTTTTACAAGACTATGTATCACTAGAAGTTACAATGGTATTGTTAGCTTGTTTAAAAACAAAAAAATATTATTAGTCTCCAATAAGTTGATTTACGATTTATTTTGCATTTTTTTCATTACTTAGTACTTAGAAAACTCTTTCATTAGTGACACGGGTTGAATAATATAGTTTAAATCCTTTTAGTTGAAAATGCAACATTTTTTCATGGCCAACTGCGAACAAAAATTTTTTGCTAAAAATGTATTATAATAATTTGTTACAAATATATATTTTTTAGATAGGAAAAAAACAAGCTTTTTAAAAATGACATAGCCATCTATGATTCCCATATAAAAAAAAATAAAAGTTTATTTTATTACGGCTAAACAAACAACTGAAAAAAATTATTAAGTACATTATTAAATGCTACGTAAAAAAGTGCCTGTATAGTGTCTTTATTTCAAATCTGTGTCTTCTATAATAACGAAGGTATGAATTTTTTTAGATTTCACGAAAATGTCAATTTTTGTCTATAAGTCGAAAACAAAAGACAATAGCGGGATGCGGTTTTAACCAATATTATTTCCTCAAAAAATGAGCCCCGGAATGTATTATAATTATAATTATAACCTCTTAGTTTCGGAGACTTCCTATTCGGACATCCAAAATGCAGCACCCTGTACTTACTTTTTTAATTTCTGTTTGAAATCATCAGAAACGAAAATTTCGAGGCAAAAATTGTTTTTCCAGTTTTTATATTATTTTTCGTGTCTATAAGCACTACTAAAATTTTTGCTGTGATTAGAGGAACATTTATGTAATAAACAATTGCTACTTTTTATAAAATTAGTTTTTATGAGTAATAAAACTAATAAGTAAGTATATTTTTTATGTAGTGCCTAGGCTTTTGTACCATTATTATTAGATAGGTTTAACGCTTAGGAAATTGTTATTTTAATAATTAGGAAAAAACTTTTTATTTTTTGTAGCACGATGTGTCTTAACTTATAAGCATAAACTTGGGGCATTTCTTGCCCAATAATAACGAATATTGAAAACAAAATTTAAAGTTTTATTTAACTTATTTTGCATTTATTGATCTTGACTTTTTTTTTCATTGTCACTGTCGAATGTCAAATTAAGAACGTCGGTACCGTTATACTAACTGAGTTTGTCAAAAACTATAAGTATCTACCCTATGCGTATAAGTTAAGACTCACCCTGTATAAATCCACAAGTGAATTACAAGGTAAATAAATGTATTCCACAATGATTAACATTTAAAAAATAAACTGTATAATGATTATTGCTTTATTTATATCCTTTTATTTTTTTCCTTTCCCTTTTTGCTTATTTACGGCTGGAATTTTAATTAAAAAAAAGTACACAAGCAATACCTAATACACAAAGTATTAATATATTTTCAAAAATTAAATATTATTTTCAAAGGGTGTATTTACGTAACGAAGGTTCAATAATTTTATGACTTAAAGTGACGTCGCGATAATAAAATTAAAAATGATAGATAAAATTTAATAAGTATTAATATACTGAGGGTCACGTACAAAATTAATGAATGGCAACATTTTGTTAAAAATGCAGCGATAATTATTTGCTGATGAGTAGGAAATTAGTTTATTGAAATATAATTAGTTATCTTCAAAAAGACGGAAATCGGGTTATCTGCATTTGCAACAATTTATCGAAAAGTGTTTTTAATATAAAAATTGACTGATTTTTGGACTACAAACTGCTGAATTGTAAATAAATTTTATATATAAAGAAATGGAGGAATAATGCAACGTACACTTGTGCGACTGATTATTGTGTCGCGATGTGGTCCAAAATAGTGCTTTGTATTTTTGGTAAGTAAAATTCTTATTTTATTCTATTTTTAAGTAGTTTGATTTTCAATTTTTTTAATGAAATTTTTAAGGAATGTTTGTTTTTTATGCAGTGCATATTTTTTATTAATTTTTTAAAGCAAATTTTTTTTTCTGTCCAGTGGGGCTCGCTTGCGCCAGTCACAACCCAGGCTGGCAACACAACCATGAATACGTCTATCAAATCCGCGGCCGATCTCTCACCGGTTTGGACCAAATCAGCAGCAATTATGCCGGTATGCTCTTCAAAGCCAAACTTTGGGTAAGACCACGATCTGACGGACATCTTGGAGCTCGAATCACCGAACCCCAATATGCTGAAATTCACTCGGAGCTATACCGAAGTTGGGATCAAGAAATCCCGGATTCGGAACTTAGCTACAAGCCGATTTCTCTCTCATCGAAACCGTTTTTGGTCAAAATGAACAACAACGCAGTCAGTGACCTTGTTGTTGACAAGTCGATCACAAATTGGGAAGCTAACATGATCAAAGCTATTGTGAGTCAACTCCAATTGGACACAAATGCCGAAAATCTTATTCCTAGCTCGATCAATATTTTGACTCAAGAGGGATCAAATACGGCTGTTTTCAAAACAATGGAATCCACTGTAACTGGAGAGTCGGAAACTTTGTACGAAATCCACCCCTTGCCCGAATATATTCTCCAAACAACTCCATGGTTGGTTCCTTTGAAACATTTGAAAGGAAGAGGAGAAGTTATCGAAATTGTCAAAAACAAAAACTTTACACACAGCAAGGAAACCCCATCTTACCACTTTGGTTTTCATGGAGTCGATCGTTTTGACGTTGATAATCAAATTGGGGAATTTTTCTCTCGCACTTCAGTCTCTAGTGCTGTAATCACCGGAAATTTAGAAAGTTTCACTCTACAAAGCTCAGTGACCTTCGATGAAGTCACAGTTAACCCATCTTTGCAAGACAAACAAAGGAGTTCGGCAAGAAGCATTGTCAACATCACCTTAGTTTCAATGGATGAGCAAAACCAAGAATTTGAACAAGTGTCAAACCCTGTCAATGTTGGTCTTGTCTATCATTATGACAACCCTTTCTATGAAACCAATGAACCTCATCTCAGATCTCAAAGTCGTTCCAGTGAAAGAAGAAACAGCGATGAATCTTCTTCTTCTCACAGCCAGGAAACCTCCAATCAAATTCGAAGACACAAACGCAGCATGTCCCAACCTGCCTCATCCGAATCCGATGAATCAAGATACGCTGAACTCTACTCTTCAGTCCAGGAAAAACCCCACATCAATGAAGCACCTGCCTCACCTCTGCTTCCCTTCACTGTCGGCTATGATGGCCAAGCTATCACCAAAAAGCAAAACATCAAAGAAAGTGCTCGCAACTTGGCCAAAAAAATTGGACAAGAGTTCCAACAGTCGCAAAACATCCCTGAACAAAACACTGTCGGTAAATTCTTGATTTTGAGCAGCCTTTTGAGGGTTATGGACAAGAGTGAAATGAAACAAGTCGCTGACCAATTGTACACACAAGAACCACATGGAGCTGCCGCAGCTGCCTGGGTTGCATACCGAGATGCTGTTGCACAAGCCGGAACAGGACCTGCCCTCCTCAACATTCAGGAATGGATCCGTGAAGGGAAAATCTCAAGGGAAGAAGCAGCGGAAGTTGTGTCAACTGCTGCCGTTTCCGCCAGACAACCAACAGAGAAATACATGAAAGTTTATTTCGAAATGATCCAAAATGACCAAATCATGGCTCAACCCTACTTGAACGAATCTCTGCTCTTGGCTTACACCACTTTGATTCATCAAGTTTACGTCAACGAGGAGTATTCGCACAGTAAATACCCTGTTCATAGTTTTGGTTCGTTTAACACAGCTGAAGGGTGGTTCTACGTCAAAAAAGAAGTCATCCCCTACTTGTCACAAAAATTGGATGAAGCTATCACTAACGCTGACACCAAACAAATTCATTTGTACATCCGGGCTCTTGGAAACATCGGACACCAGCAAATTTTGCAATGCTTTAAACCCTATTTGGAAGGAACTAAGAAAGCTTCTCATTTCCAAAGAATTCTGATGGTTGTTGCTATAGATAAACTGACCAAAAGTAACCCCAAAGTTGCCCGCTCTGTTTTGTACAAAATCTACCAAAACCCACACGATTTCGACCAAGTACGTGTTGCTGCTGTGTATCAATTGATGAAATCTGAGCCGTCAGCTGCCATGCTTCAACGAATGGCCTATTATACCAATGTTGATACAAGCAAGCAAGTAAATTCTGCCGTAAAATCTATCATCGAATCAGCTTGTGAACTTCAAGGATCTCGTTATCAAAAAATGTAAGTTGTGAGTTTTTTTGTGAAAAATTTACTAAAGCCTAATTTCAGACGTTCGGCTGCTCACTCTGCTAGGCCCCTATTAACTTCGCAAGACTTCGGCGCCCAATACCCCCACGGTAATTTACGCAGCTTTGTTGAATACGAAATGCAATCAGAATATTTGCAAAAATTCAACTACCTGGTCAGTGAAGACAGCGTTTTGCCTAAAGGAATCAATTACTACCTTCAAGGACGTTTCGGTGGAGTCAGACGTTTTGTTGTTGATATGCAATCGATGGTGTCTAGTGTTGAAGACTTGATCAACGTTTTTGAACAACAAACGAAAGAATATCGTCGTTTGTTGAAGGAAAAACAAGCTGCTCAAAGTGCCAACACTAAATGGTCAAGTGAACATACCGCCAACCTTTTCAATATGCAAAATGAACAAAGGGAACAACTTGAGGGAAATATTTATTTCCATATTGATGCTTTGCAGAAAATGTGGTCGTTTGACAACCGAACTATCGAGAACTTAATGCAAAGTAAGTGGAAGCATAATTGAATTAAGTTATTAAAATATTTTTTTGTTTTTTATTTAGTTGTCAGGGAATGTGAGCAAGACTTGAAAAACGGAAAACATATCGATTACAACAAAATGACCGTAAATTACGAAACCGCGTTGTCTTTCCCTACTGCTTGGGGTTTGCCTTTCATCTACACTTTCGACGTCCCCACCCTTGTTCATATCGAATCAGATATCCGAGCTTCAGCAAATCCTTCAGTCTGTTCAGAGCAAGGACTCCAACAACCTGAAACTGTTGATCTAGAATACAAAATCAACGCTTTTGTCTCGGGACGTGTTCAATGTCAGCTCGGATTCTTTGTTCCTTTCAACCACAAACGCTACAGTTCTGGTTACGACAAGAACTTCCAAGTCGTGGTGCCCCAAATTTCGGGCAAGGTTCACTTAGATGTCGAAAACAAACAAGCCACTTTGGAAGCTGAAAACACCGATTCACAAAAAAATACAAACTTGATTCATTACAGCTCCTGGCCTTATACTTCCGCCTATGAAATTTTCGAAGTCCAGCCTAAAAATAAAATTATTGAAAAGGAAAATCCTCATAGAGTTAACACTCTTGTTGGGGACAAATCCACAGGAATTGCGTTGAATTTCAAGATGATCAGTAGCCGCCCTATTGATTGTGGATTTTTGTATGATAGGCTCCGCAAACAAGATATTGTTTCGGCTCTTTTGGGATCATGGGTTGATGATAATATGCAACACATCCAAATTGATTTAAGAATCGACTCTGATAAGTCAACAACTAACAAGGTTGTTGTTCATTTAGGCCACCAACATACTTACAATTCGGGTTTGAACCGCAAACCAGCCCCGGAAATGTCATCCCGATACCAATCCGCTCAAGAATCTTGGGAAAGACAAAAGGAATTTTTGAAAAACTGCAGCAAAGACATTCGTAACGTCTATGCTCATGTTGTTGATGCAATTGTGCTGTTCCAAGGCCAAAGAATAGTTAAATACACTTCAACCCTTGCCGGTGCTAGGAGTGACATTGACCCCAAAGGTCGCGTTTTGATGCAATTGGAAAAAGACAATCAACACGACAAACCAATGAGAGTCTACTTTGCCGCTAATACGAAAATACCAAACACTAACAGCCTTAACTTGAAATATGCCCTAGAATTTGACCCAACTAGCACCATCCAAATCCAAGGTGTCATAGAAAAGAATAGCGGCAATGATGCTCAAATTAGTGCCAAATTGACTTTGTCCAAGAGCGAGGAACGTAAACAATATTTGAAAGAGTTACCACAGTATGAGAAATGTCAAAAAGAAATGCAGGAAGGTAACTACCAATTGCCATCATGCGCTATGTTGACAGCCCAAGCTAACCTTTTGGATCAATTTTCGTTTGATTTGGATTACCATAACATTGACAAGGCTGTGATTAACAATACTTACAAGTTGTACAGCGTTTTACGCCACTACATGTACCCAAGGGTTTCTGAAAACATTTTGATGGAAAATGAACAAGTTCAAAAAGACCATCTTCAAGTTAGGGGCCAATTTAGCCCTTGTTTGTCTAGAGTCAATGCTTCTGTTGTTACCGAGTACGGAAAAGTTGAACTTAATAATGTAAAAGTGAACGATTGGGCTAAAGCTCTTTTGGTGCCGCATCCTGTACATCACGTAAAATCACGTTTGGAAGGATATGCCTTTAATTATGACACTTACAAAGGTACATTTGTAACTACATTGTAATTTTCGTACTAATTCTTCTATTTTAGCAAACTGTATGATTGATAGTAGTGCTGTTAACACTTTGGACAACAGAACATTCCCCATTAATTTGTCCAAAGACTGGGTCGTTCTCCTTCATTATGTTCCTCGCAGACCTTCACCAATCAAAAACCAACCTTACTTGACTGTTCTCGAACAATTAAACCAACAAATCGAAAGTTACATTGTTTATGGTCGTGCCTACGGTGACGCCAAGAAAGAAATCAAAATGGTTATCCAATCACCACACACTTTGTCAAACGTGATTGACATTACGCTCAAACCCAGTGAATCGTCAGGTTACCCAAGACTCTTCGTCCAGGGTCAAGAAATCAAATATGATGACCAAGGCTCTCACATGTATGATGGTTACATGCAAGTGTACAAACTTCCAAACCAGGAAACCAAAGTGCAAGTCTACAACGCCTTTAGAGTTGTCTACGACGGTGTTCGCGCCAAACTCGAAATCACTGATGACAAATTCCGCGATGCATCCCGTGGCATTTGCGGCACCTTTACCAACGAGCAAGAAACCGACTTTACCCACCCTGGCAACTGCATCATCCACAACCCTGAAGTCTTTGTCGCCACTAACACCATCCCTGAAAAACAACGCACAAAGAGGATGAACGAAATGATGATGATTCAAGCCGAGGAGAAAAAATGCTACCGCAAATCCGTGCAATATGCTAAAATTGTTTCAGCACAAGACTCTGGAATTATGGGTGGTGAGATGTCCGCCCGGAGTGGAGTCATGTATAGGACGCAGTATGCGCTATCAGGGGGTCAAACCTGCTTCAGCATTTTACCACTTCCGGTTTGTAAAGAGGGATACAAGCAAGTCGAGAGTCTCAACAGACCTGTTCCGGCACACTGTGTGGAATCATCGCAACTTGCGAGGTCGCTGAGAAGCCAGATCGATCAGGGTGCTAATCCTAGTTTTAAATCGAAGCCGCAACATAGGGAAGTTATGATGCAGATGGCGAAAAGATGCGAAGCTTAGATGGGAGAGGCTGGAAAAATTGTAGATAGATATTTATATGAGCATTCCTAAAATGTAAAAAAAAAATAATAAAAAAATTTTGGACCATTTATGTTTTTGTTTCTTTCATCACAAACAAGATAAACTTTCACGACCAAACCAAATTATGTTTACAATTAAACATAACTCACTAAAAATCTTATTAAGGATACCACTTTAAAAAGTGGAATTAGAGACGTTAAAACCTAAAATCATTATTCAACTACGGATTACGATTCGAAAATTGAAAATTAACCTATTATACTTGGCAGAGGTGCAGCGGGGGGTTCAAAAATTGAAATTTTGTATTCAATTATTTTCGAAGTTGTCATGTCATGTCGAAGTTGACATATTTTCCTTTTTCTATTTTGTAAAATGCGGCAAAACTGTACCTTAAACGTTATAATGTTATATAACACATATGTATGCATAAAATGTTCCGAGAAATCGATTAGCGTTGCGAAAATTGCAAGATTCTTGATCGTTTAGAAGTTATAGTTGAGTTAATAACTTGGATATTTTTGACTTTATCATATTAAAATCATCTTTAATGACAATTAAGCTCACACCACATCGTGTTTTTTGAAATCACGTTTAAATGTGTGTCCGCAATATTTTACATAGGTAACTACCTCCTGTAAACTCTATCTCTGGCTACGCTACTGATATTTCGAATTTCTTAATAACTAAACTTGATTTTCGGTACCTGAAGCTAATAACTCCAAATCTATTATCAATAGCTCCTTTCTGTTGTACCATTGGAAAGTATAATTTCATATCATATAAAAAAGATCATTGTTTTCAATAAATTTTTATTGAGAAAATCTGTAGTGAAAGCTAAAATAATCAAAATCTACAGTATGTTTCCGGATTGAGTTTACAACATTATTTATTATTCTGAAAAGTTAATTTTTCTTTTGATTAATTTTTTTTCTAATTTAAATGAATTTAAACTATTTTAATTTTAAAAACTCATTACTCAATAACTATTAGGCTGATTTCCTTCAAATAATAACCATTCTAAAGGGATGGCCTTGCCCTTTAGGGTGATATGAAATTTGAAATTAAATATTGGCAAACTTTTCTTCGAACAGTGTTCGAAGAAGTTCGATGTAAATCGAAATAATCTAAGAAAAACCCTACGAGTAATTTTTTTCATCATTACCATCGTGTAGAGCATCTCTTTATTAGTTGTAATCCAAATTTTGAAAAGAATATACCGAGTAGTTTTCAAGATATGATTTTTTGAAGTTGATCAGTGATCATTTTTAGAACAAAAAAACTCTTTATTTGCATTAATTAGTACGCAGACACTCTTTGTTTCTTTTAAGTAAACAAACAGTTTTTGGTTATTCTACTTAGAACAAAGAAGGTGCAATTGACCATTTTTAAGCAAAAGAAGAGTCTTAAAACAAATACTTTTATAAAAATGCAATTTTAAGTAAGATTAACATGCATTTCTCCTACATGGCGCAATACCTGAACAGCAAACCTTAACTTCAAAAAATCATATCTTAAAAACTACTCGGTATATTATTTTAAAAATTTGGATTCTTATTAATAAAAAGATGCTCTATACGATGGTGACAAAGAAAAAAAAATTACTCGTAGGGTTTTTCTTAGATTACTTCGATTTACTTTGAACATCTTCGAACACTGTTCGAAGAAAAGTTTGCCAATATTCAATTTCAAATTGAATATCATTCTAAAGGGCAAGTCCATCCCTTTAGAATGGTCTTTATTTGAAGGAAATTGGCTTAATAGTTATTGAGTAATAAGTATTTTAAATTCATTTAAATTAGAAAAAAATGATTTAGTTCAAAGTATATGAACTTTTTGAAATTTTTTTTTAGTGCATGAGATAAATCTCACTGAGACGAACAAAATGATGATCAAGTTGTCACGAGATGACTTCTTTTTTGTCGCCCTGTGTTATTAAATCCTATCACATTGGCGGTTTTAATTATTTGACAACTATATGTGTCACTTAATTAATTTATTAATTGATAGTAGGTACTTGTTAAAAATGATTTTGGTTTTTATCTTAAAGTTGTTTCTTTGAGTTGTTATTTATTAAAATTATGCTTTTCACAAACATTTTTGTTATTTAACTTCCGTAAACTCTTTTGTTAAAGTGACATCATTGTCAAAATAATAAAACCGCCAATGTGATAGGAATTAAAAAGCAGAGAAAAATTATTTTAAGTCCAAAATCAAGAGAAAAATGAGGTTTTCTTTTCTACCGAGTTAGAATAATGAAATTTTAATTACAGATTTGCTCGTTTTAAGTAAAGCAAAAAAAAAGTTTTTCCTTTGGAGTTTTGGCGTAAAATTAAAGATTTTTTTTTTCCTCTTGTAAACTCAATCCGGGGTCATACTGTTTACTTCTAAACGAAGAATTTTGTGGAAAATATTTCCGATGAATAAAGCTTTCATGCTTTTATGTTTATGCTCTTATGCGCTTATATTCTCTCATTATGCCTATTCCCCTATTAGAATTCGAGAATAACTGCTGATTACCTAAGGTCGAACCGAATCATCTGCCTGCCGGAAGCAAGAACTTAAATATTGCTTCAATCTTAAATATTGGTTTTAATGTGGAAAGGGCTAGTAATGTTTGACCACAATTCCCACATGGGAACTTGAGCCGATCTTTATTTATTTAAAATGATTTTTTGATTTTATAGCTTTTTTGAAGTTATTGTTCACATTGATTGTTCTCGCTTCTATGAAATCAAGAGCTGTGACTCGAGACCTCATTTATCCCTAGTGTGTGTAACCTAAGTTTCATTTTAGCAAGCCCTACAGCGTATCTCCGGTAGAGGCAAGGGACCATAATAATCTCTCGCCGATTCATAGAGTCTGCTGTTTAATATACATGGCAACAGACAACAGTTCGCCCTTCCGTGACCACTATTAGTTGATAGGATAATTTAATTAAAAATTAGTTGTATGCTCTGGCCGGCTAAACCTAATTAAATAGCGAATTTTGTCACGTATGTCATCCCTTTTTGTAAATAAGTTTGGGGAGTAGCGTAGCCGCAGCGTAAGTAAAGGTTCTCAAGGCTGCTTTTAGCGGCTGTAGCAAATCTACGTGAGCGATCTCAGGAGATCCGTTAAGTTACTACGCTACCAAAAGAACGCTTACAGCTCGAGTTTAGCTAGTATAAGTCTTGTTTTTTGCACCGGTTGACATTTATCTCCCCATTTAGACACCAACCGAGAAATTCGAACAATAAATTGCTGAAAAACTTAGATTGACAAAAAGTAAAGTTGATGATGATAATCCTTGAGCCGAAGGCATGTGACGAATGCCAACACGTAATTCATTACACCGCAGGGTTAGAATAAATGAAAAATTTACAAAATGGGCGCACTTATTAATCATCGCGACGGCGCCGAGTAAATTAGAAACGAGGAAAATTTAATTTTCAAACTATCACTGGCGAGGAAAACTTAGGGGCTTGTGAACATTGACGTGATTTATTCTAAGAATCGCTCAAATCTAACATTCGTGGAAGAAAACGAAGGTTGATAATAAGAAAACTATCAATAATCAAAAGCCAGAAGGCAAGCATTCAGACCCATTACGTCTCTGACAGGTGCATTACTACCGTTATTTACGGTTTTCTTCGAAACACGTTTAAAACATGACAAGTAGCGGCACTTCCTAGAAATAATTAAAAAAAAAACAAAAGTGCACAAAAATAAATATTGATTTTGTGTCTTTCAAAACGAACTTTTTAGCATGTCTACAACTCTGTTTTCTTGGATTCCAGTTTTAATCAATGAATTAAGGAAAAGTAACGCTAATCATTCCTTTAATGTTTCTCAAAGTTAGTGGGTGAAGAACGGTAAACAGACTAATCCCAACTGTCGGCTTAAACTGGATTAAATCTTCTTAAGAAGGGTTACTTCATGTCGGTAGATTCGCAGAGGGTCTATGGGTGTGCAATTTTATAAGAAAGTAAGTTCATCTCATTTTCCGGAGTATTTAAGAAATTTAAAAGAAGCGATCACGAACCTTAACCCAAATTCGGCTTAAAAACAAAGTACCCATTTTTAGTTGTAGTGTGAGAAGTATAACCGGTTTTAGACCAAAAACCGGTTTTTGAGTGCTAATTAGAACCGGTTTACCAATTTTGCAATCTTCACCCCTCTGATATTCTCAAGACTGTTGCATTCGTTTTGGGGATTTGTGGTTGAAAATTCGATCAGTTGTTTGCAGTTTCGTCCATTTTCGAAGCAACGCAAGCAGAATGGCAACATTGACATAAGACAATGCGTTATGCTAATATTATTATTGCGCCTTTGTGCAGCGAACATGTAAATTTGATCGTAACTGAAAATATCTTGTCGTTTCGACTTTCATAAGGAATATTCAAATGGTGTGTCACCTGTGGGATATAACTGTCTCAAAATCAGGAATCACCCGTTTTGACACTTTTAGGGGTAATGAAATAAAAAGACAGGTTGCTAGTTGGGTTTATTGCAAAACAAATGCATTTTCGAAGAATGTGTTCTCATATAATATATCTCATAATTGACACAAACCTAATAACATTACAACAGAATTGTGCAGTGCTATTAACACATCAACAGCTGCTCAATTTGTAACAAAAACGGCACAAAAAATAGGCTACAATTTCAAGATTATATCGCGATGTTTGCCTTTTTTAAGTTTACTTATGCTAATGTCGCGTACAATAAGTGGCATGCGAATTTAAGCTCCTTGTAAATACTTATAAAATACAACAAAAAAAATATAACTAAGTACTTAAGTACATTTTTTTCATACTCTAGTAGTAAGCTTCTACCGATAATGATATAATTCTAATAACTAAAAATTCACTAGAGATTACTAAAATGCATCAAAATTGAAATTTTTGCATTTACGTTATACTAGTTGACCTGGAAAATCATTGTTTTATCATTCTTTTCCTATTCATCCAATTTTTTCCAATTTTGTGTATGATTATTGCTTTACATTTACTGATTTTATGTGACCGTAATTTCAAATAGTTATATCACAGACAGATGAATAGACATATGTCAAGAATGAATATCATTCTT